GACAAAAAAAAACCAGGCATATATAAAACGGTGACGATCTTCCCCCACCAACCTCTGCTTGGAGAGTATGATTCGCCAGGCTGTTTCGTACTGTGTGTACAGTACAGTGCAGGATAGAAATATCAAATACATTGTGTTTATATGGTTTTATTCCCCAAAATAATATTGTTTATTACCGTTACCAGTATGTTTTTAGTAGCGCTTGTGTGTATGTTTATATGTGTGTGAGTGTTTTAGCAGGGTTTATGGAAAAACATGGGTGCCTGCCAGGCCAGGCTACCTGGTCTTTCCACCTAGCTGGCCTGGCTAGCAAGTCAGGCTACTCAGATCCCCCCATTCATATGCAGCTGCGCCCTCTAACGTACATGTACTGCAACTAATCCAAGGTTTGAGGCGGTGGACCTAGGGGCCTTGCAAAACCAGTATCACAGTGTGGTCTAGAGGGTTTCCGCAGCGGAGTGCAGGGAGGGCTACCCCAGACCCGAGCGCGTGTGCGCAAACTCTCCACCTGCCACTTGATGAGTCTGGCCCCCAGACCGAAGATTCTACTCTACCCTACTCTACTCTAGTGGATAATTACAAACCACAAACTGCTGTATTCTAGCCTAAGTGTTTCAACGCCAGCAGTGTGAACCTGTTAAGTGTTACAATGTTGCTAAGTCTTCGATAAGATGGCATTTTTCAGGCCGCCGACAGCCTGGTCACTCTGTTCTGATGCGAGGGTCACACTTTGGCCCGCTAAGTAACTGCGAGACCTGTTTTCCTGTCACTGTTGATTACCCTTGGCCAATTAAAACTTTAAACATTAAAACTTCGAACAAATGTCAGTTTATTTCTCTGTACTCTCCGTGTGGGTACCCAACGTACCAGAGTAATTGGTGTAATTTCCATGCATTCCGCTAGAGGACGTGGCTGCTTGGATGTCTTATCTTTCGTGAGGACATGAATGGGGGGATCTGAGTTAGAGAGATGTGTGTAATCTATAGAGAAACCTTCATTGAAAAAAAATATAGAAACACTTGAGAAACAAATATAAAATAGTTTTTAGGATACTGAAATACAGTAGAAATACAATCTCACCTTATACATGTACTTTGATACATGAATTAAAATTTGTTCTTTGGACCACATACAAATGTATTTTGACACTGACGGGTCAGTCAGTCAACATACCAAACAATATTACAATGTATGTCATACAATCCACCTATGCTTTGTGTACATGCCTCATGAATTCTTCTTGTATCAATGTTTGTAGTAACCTTCCTACTTGGAGGTCATAACCAGTGTGTTTATTTTATACCATAGGTATGGATGAAATGCATTGATTTACCACATTTGTTAAATTCTTCTCCTCTTCAAAGAGGGCCTGCATGCCCTTTTTCATTAACCGTTATGGGCTATTTTAATTCACCGTTAATCGTTGCTGGCCCGCACTAATTCAACATTAAGCGTCATCAGTATATTCATTGTGAAGCGTTATTGGTCGTTTTAATTCAACGTTTAACGTTATTTTGTCATCCTAAATTCAGCGTTATGCATTAATGAACAATTCTTTGTTACGCCTAATTTTGCCTTTCAAAGTGAAGGAAAATGCGTCATTGAAGGTTTAAAAATACGAAAATTCTCGCCCGGACCCACCTACATTGCTTGCGCCTTTTTGACCAGTTTTCCGTCAATAACCGGAAGTTTGCGGAGGGTTACAGAATTTTTTTAACGAATCCGTCAACCTTGACAGACAAAATTTACACAAATCTTGCGTATATAAATATGGAAACATCAAAAGGACCAACAAACACTCTCAACACCATGATTTGCCTCTCAAAATGCGGGAAATTGCATTTTTGAAGGCTTAAAAAATCCTAAATTTCCCGGGGGACCATCCCCCGGACCCCCTAAGAAGATTGCAAGCGCCAGGCACTCCCCTCTCAAAATCCATTGGTAAAACTGGGCGCACGGAAAAAAGTCAACTTGAAGCTGGGTAGAGCCTTGGCCGACGTCGACTCCTACTCCCCTTTATTTGTGGACGCACTCGGGGACCAGGGCAGGTGGAAAACAGAGGGAACACATACCTTTAATGCGTGCTTCATTACATGTAAGGTATATGTAATTTTGTCAGTGATCACCTTTTCTCACAAAGCAAGATACCAAATCCAGTGCAGCTCGAAAAAAAAGCCTGTCAATTTACTGTTAAGCGTTGCCAACTGTCCTGAATTTACCGTTAAGCGTTATCGGCCCTGCTGAATTTACCGTTAACGGTTGCCAGGACCCCCCATGCAGACCCTCTTCAAAATTGTATAATTTGGGACACCTTTTTTTACCGTTTTCAGGTCCAATAAACAAAATTGTGTATTCGGAATGCAGAGAAAGAGCCAATAGGCATACAACATTCTATATTCATGGCAGGTGGTGGTGTTCTTGCTGAGTGACTGTTGACATAATATTGCATCAACCGCCTTCGCACCTGCCTTCAACTTTCAAGAGTTTTAGTAGGCATGTCAAACTGCTCCAGCATTGAAATTGTGGCACCAGTTCTTTTTTTAAGTCCTAAAAACCAACAGTTTGTATTATGGTAGTAAAAATCAGTTTGGGGCCAAATGCTTCAAGCTACTGTGTACATGAAATTTGTAATCTTCAAGTAGATACAGGGTGATGTGGATATCTGTATCCGTATAACAACCACTAAGTCTTGGCATATATTTAAACACACCAGCTTTGTAGGCATGCAGTACGGGCAGCTGGCTATATCACACTGAATGACTTGTTTTACACCTTATGAGCCTTGAATATCTAAGCCTAAATATTGTTTAAAGCTCAAAATCTAGTGACTCAGCGGCTATGCCTGCTGTGCTTAGTGGTAGCGAGTTCCACTCTATAATTGAGTTTTTTAACACCTCAATTCTTGGTTGATAACTCTGGTACTTGAAGGCGTGACTATTTCTTGTTCTTTTACATTTGTAGGTACTTGGTACAATGTACATCCATCAGCTGGGTTAATGCTCGCACTGGGAACATATGTCCCAAGACAGAAATCACAACGAGCAGCTATAAAAAACTGTACAAAAGAACCCACAACTTCAAAATTTATCCCAACTAGTCACTTTCTGTCATAAAAATGATCACAGCAGTTAAACAAAGACACTCTTTCGCTTACTGCCCTGCCATCTATGTCCCACTCAAAAATCAAGACCATGGCATGAGATATCATACCCATGTACAGGGTTAATGGAAAAAGGAGTCCAGTCCGATTGGCGGAAAAAGCAGTCTAGTCCGATTTTGGGGTGGAAAAAGCAGTCTGGTGGTTTCTACGAAATTTTACGAAAGACCATAGGCACAATATTTTCTTGTGTGTGTACTTCTAGTTTCTATGGGTACTTCGAGTTTCTATGAGTACTTAGAGTTTCTATGGGTACTTAGAGTTTCTATGACTATTTAGAGTTTGTATGGGAACTTGAATTAGCATATATGTGACTCACTACAGGCCCCCTTAACCCGTAATTGAGGCAGCCTTGGGTGAGGAACAACTGATTTACACCTCTTGGGACCACCGAAAAGTAGTTTCTATACATACAGGTCACCTATCCACAATAAACAAAAGTTAATTATTAAGGGATTCTTTCTTACAATTGTACTTCCGGGACTTACATGCTTGTCGGTGTAATGCAAAGTCTGCCATACGTGGCTTTAGCAGGGGCCGGCTGGATGTTGGGCAGCTGGCAACCGTAAAGCGATTTAGTCAGGCTACTTGCAAGCAGGATCGGCCCTGGAAATCTCGTCTGTTGACCGCTTCATCTTTTGACTAATTATTATTACTTATAATATGTAAGTAACTAGAAAGGCCAATATTTGCTTTGGAGCAAATACAGCGATGGGTTCACCACATTTTACGACATGGCAGGGAAAGAATGGGAAACACAAGGGAAAACAATGATTTACATTGATATAACTATAATATGAAGTAAAATACAACTAAAACAACAGTTGGATAGCTATTCCCTACTTTATTGGTTAGGATTTTTAATTGCATAATGCAAACTGTTGATTTTCAAAATAAAAAAAAAACGTCCATGCCCGGCATTCCAATGCTGGAGCAGGAAAGCTTGAAATACCTACCAAAACACTTGAATACAGACATACTGTCAGTATGGAAATGCTTCTGTGCAGGTGGAAATGGTCTGTGCAGGTGTTAATCAAGTTAAATCCCAACAGCCAATCAGCAAGAAGTATAGAGGAAAGCTGCATGCCTATTGGTTGATGCCCTGCATTCCATTGTCATGACTCATGCCCAAACGTGGTAAACAAGGCACACTAATACAGTAATACACTTGCTATAACACAGCCAAAAAACTCAAATAAAACCATTCTAAAAGCCTGTATCACAATAATTTAAAAAACGCCTAGGGGTATTTGCCCACTGTACCTCCATACCAAATTTCAGGACCTTAGGCCCTAAAATGAAGAAGCTGAATCCATTTAAGAAATGGCAGGAGGAGAAGGAGGAGAAGAAGAAACATCAGAAAAAGCAATATGGTTTCACCACACCACTTCGTGGTGTGGTGAACCCATAATAATCCGGAAGCATGATGATGATGATGAACAGATGTAAGTTACAGACTGTAAGTTCCCATGCAAACTCTAAGTACTCATAGAAACTCTATGTTCCCATACAAACTCTAAGTACCCATAGAAACTCGAAGTACCCATAGAAACTCGAAGTACTCATAGAAACTCGAAGTACCCATAGAAACTAGAAGTACACACACAAGAAAAAATTGTGCCTATGGTCTTTCGTAAAATTTCGTAGAAACCACTGGACTGCTTTTTCCACCCCAAAATCGGACTGGACTGCTTTTTCCGCCAATCGGACTGGACTCCTTTTTCCATTAACCCCCCATGTACCCCACGCAGTACCTTATTAAACCACTAGAGTACCCCAAATTAATCTTGACCTCCCTTTCCCAACCTCATCCTACCTTCCAAATATCATAAAGATACAAGCACCACATTCCAAGATATAGCCGATTAAAAATTCAGCAACCCCTATGTATGGTGTGCCTAAACACATACATTGTATTTATTAACCTTCTGGCAAAGGTAATGAGGAGGGGGATGGGCTGAAATATGCTGTATTTGCTCCTGAGCAAATGTCTGCTTTTCTAGTTCAAATATATTTTAGCAAGCGTGCATCAAATTCAATTGTGTAGAAAACATGACTAAGAAAGTTTCAATCTACTTTACAATTGTAATTTGTAGTTAATGAAATTGAATAGCAGCAACTGGTTAAATAGGCATTATAAACAGAATTATTTCAGTCTATTGCAAAAAAACCCCCAACAAATCACTGACAAAAGTTGAAGACTACTCTTGTATATAGAAACACTTGACAAAGAAGTGGCAGTTTTCTTGATCACTCAAAACAGAAGGTGTTCACAGCATACTTTCCCCCCAGTATTGTTCCACCCACCTTAGTTAAACATAACATGGCAACATCCCACATAGCTCTTATGATGTGTACATGTGAAAACTGCATGGCCATGGTAGACACTACAATTAGGGCAAGGTACATGCAGGTGCTAGTAATGGTTCCACAATACACTTAAAGCACTAACGTTAATTGCCTTTTTTACATTTTTCATGCAATACTGTCCCCTTGTTTTGCAGGATGCTAAGGAGGAAAAATATCAATCCTGAGGGTAATTTCAACTTTTAGATTGAAGTATAACTGGGCGCCACATCAGCCCATGAGTGCCTCCCTTATGCACGTGAGGTACAGTAGATGCATGGTTGCATGTAAATTTTGCCCAAAGCATGCAATATATAGTTAGCCAGTGCTGTCCTTGAATTGTATGCTAAAACTTTGTCACTTTGTTTCAGGATGGCAGCACCGGTACGAACGAGAGTTACAGAGGCTGACAGACGCCATTTTGATTTTGTGCAAACTTTACATCGTATATCTGAGGCCCTGACGAAGAAAGAAACAAGACTCTTGAAATTCTATTGTATTCGGCATATTCCAAAAGGCAGGGCCGAAAAACTCAAACAGCCGATTGACATTTTCCACAAGTTAACAGAACTTGATAAAATAGACGAGGAGAACTTGGACTTTGTTGAAGAGATCTTGGAAAGAATGGGTCGAGCAGACCTGGTGAGGGACATCCTGAGGCCGTTCCAACCACCTGACCGAGACATTCCAGAGAATCCCGAATTACAACCAGGAACAAGCACCGAAGGTGCAAGTGCGAATGGTGAGTAAAAGTACAGTAGTCTTTTTGATCACACTTCTGGGGAGAGGAACCCTTTTATTGGGACAATCTTTTTTTTAACATTCAGCATAATGCTTTCTTGGACTAATGTAGCCTCTTGAGCTAGTTTCTGCCACACACATAATGGATTATGATACAAATAGAGATCAGGTTCTTTTCCTTTCTTTATGAAGCATGGATTTTTAACTTATGTGTGTTTTTCAGGTGAAATGGTAGTTTCTGTTCTTTGAGTAAGTTGTTATCTACCAGTTCAGTTCGGTTCATACCCTATGTTACGACAGCCCTATGTTACGACAGCCCTATATGTTACGACAGCCCTATGTTACAACAGCCCTATGTTACGACAGCCCTTAGTATAATGTTACGACAGCCCTATGTTACAACAGCCCTATATGTTACGACAGCCCTATGTTATGACAGCCCTATGTTACAACAGCCCTTAGTATAATGTTACGACAGCCCTATGTTACAACAGCCCTATATGTTACGACAGCCCTATGTTACGACAGCCCTATGTTATGACAGCCCTATGTTACAACAGCCCTTAAATGTTACGACAGCCCTATGTTACGACAGCCCTATGTTACGACAGCCCTATGTTACAACAGCCCTACATGTTACGACAGCCCTATGTTACGACAGCCCTATGTTACAACAGCCCTATATGTTACGACAGCCCTATGTTATGACAGCCCTATGTTACGACAGCCCTATGTTACGACAGCCCTATGTTACGACAGCCCTATGTTACGACAGCCCTATGTTACGACAGCCCTATGTTACGACAGCCCTTAGTATAGTGTTACGACAGCCCTATGTTATGTAACGCAGGAGCAGGGAATAGAAACTTGGAAAAACTTGGATGTCGATTCTCGGCCACGGGCTGGGATCGAACCCGCGCGGCTTGCGCAGCGTGCCACGTGACACTCCTAACAATCCGTCGTCCAGAACCAGCGTCGCAGACCGCTACCCAGTCATATGAAGCCTACATACAATGAAGCCTACATACAATTCCCACTATTTACATATTTACACTATTTACACTCGGTGTTACAGTCACAACACACCTATGTTAAGACACACCTATGGCTTAGTATTCCCTGAAACAAAATGATTATTGGTGGCAATGGAAAGGCATTGAATATTTGTTAAATTGAAGAAGCAATACAAGAACAAATTGGAACATTTAACATAAATCTGTACCAATAAAGTAAGAGTACACATATACAACGTTTTGGGAAAAAAATTTCTTTATGCCTCGTTGACAATCGAAAGAGCTCAAGATTTAGCCTAAAAATCTCAAACTTGTTTTATCTCACATAATTTGTTGATTTGTGCATTGTCAAGAGATCCTTCGGGAGTGTTAAGGTAAACCCGCCAAAGTGTTGATTTCAAACTTATGTTTTATCTTACATAATATGTTGTTTTGTACAAGAAATCCTTCGGGAGTGTTAAGGTTAACCCCCCATAGTGTTGATTTCAAACTTTCTCTTTAAATGTTGCTGACCTTCATTCCAGGTTTGAGAGGGGTTTGTGTTAGTTTGTTTGATGCTGACGATCTTTACCTTCGCCAAGAATTGACGAAGGTTATGTTTTCCTGGCTGTGTGTCTACATGTGTGTGTCTGTGTGTGTGTCTGTCTGTCAACAGCATAACTCAAGAAAGCTTAGATGGATTATCTTGATATTTGGTAGGTGGGTAGGTCTTGATGAGACCTGGAAATGATTAGATTTTGGACCCCCTAGCGGCTTGTTATGGTACTGCAGCTAAACTTCCGGTTTTGATATCTCATGATCTAGACATGCTGGGGTGACGAAATGTGGATGGTAGGTAGCTCTCATGATGGGGAAGAAGTGACATGAGTTTGGGCCCCCTAGCGGCTTGCTCAGGAACTGCAGGGCTATCTGTTTGAAAATATTCAAAAGAGGATAACTCAAGAACCAGTGGACAGATCGTCGTGATTTTTGGTATGTAGGTAGCTCAAGTGACGCTTGACATAATTATGTGACAATTTTGCAAATCTGGATCTAAGTTGCATAATTAATGGGGATATTCTATAAATCAGCTGCATTACAATACATTATACATTGTAGGACTATTCAAGCTTGTGACATATGTAATTGAGAACGAGAGAAACACAGGCAGACACTGATTATGTAAATTAACACCTAATTTGCATAATTAATGAGAAAATGTTATAATTCCATAATGTTAACTGCCTGGAATTTCATACATGGGGTATTTGAAAGATAAGTGAAGGTGAACATCATTAAACATAACTTATTCAAATAAGGACCTCATTTGCATAATTTATGAATTTATGAGGAAATGATAGAATGGCTTTCTTTGCTAAGATAAGGCTGTCTTTTGATGGAGAATATGATCAAATAATATTGTATTATAAATATAATACAAATGAGGATTTTATTTGCATAATCAGAAGGAATCATCTTTGTCAGTCATAAAGATTCACATCATTTGGCGAAGGTATGAGATCATGGGACTCTAGTTTAAAAGATATTTTTGTATGGATCAAGGGTGTTTTTGGAGGATATGACACAAACGTAGAATAAAAAGCCCTACCTACCCGACTAGATCTGCGTTGTTTGTTTGTTTTTGTTTATGTTTTAGACTCGGTCTGGATGTTAATGTCGCATACTTAATTTAAAGGGTCAATAAAGTTAGAGCGTAAAGTTGAAATATTCCCATAAAACTAATGATCCTACATGAAAAGTATTGATTTTTCTTTTCTTTCAGTGACAATATATTACGTGAAAATTTCCTTCGAGATCATTAAACACAAAAAAACACTCAATACATTTACAATCATTTGGTGTCTAAACATAGCCATAATCGTGTTGAAAAAAGGGGGCATCAAAACATAGGGCTGTTGTAACGTAGGGCTGTCGTAACATAGGGCTCAGACCCCGTTCAGTTCATCCTCATATGAGGTGCCCCTCTGTATGCCTCTCCAACATTTCAATCTAGCATGGGGCAGCCAGCAGGTTGCGGTCCTGACCAATACTCTTCCAATACTCACCTGAGCATTAGCTTATCTGCCAATGGCTAATAATACTTAACACATTGACTTATTACCAGTCCTAATACATGTATTAGCAATCTGTTGTACCTGGTCTATTTTAATGATTAAAAAAAAGTGATTTTGATGCTTTCAGCAACTACAACATCATCTGACGCCTTCTTGGTCATTCATGGCCAAAGACACATGATCCAGGAAACCGTAGATCGTCATAGACAAAGTCTAGCATCATTATGTGGCAGTGGGAGGTCACAGATCAAGTTCAGAGGTTACAAGAAAGGCAAGAGCATCCTGGTGCACTACTCCATACCACAGGAGAGCAGAGCACTATTGAAGCACATGGCGGATCACTCTGACCCAAGACTTGTGTACATGGGCATCAAGTCACTGCAGATCAATGCTGAAGCACCTATAAATGTCACACATAAGGCACTATTGTTTGGTATGTTGAGTTGGACATTTGCTCATTGATTGCCTGATGCTAGATGTGATTATAGAAGAGTATGCATAATGAATTCAAGATGAATGAATTGAATGATATTAATATTGCATGGATTGAATTAAAATATTTTAAAAAATCACTTAGTCGGGGTTTCTAGAACACTTTTAATAAGGCACTGTTTGTATGGGGGTTTTGACAATAATTATTATATCTATATTTCACCCCACAGTATGGGAGAAATATATTGTTTTCTGTCATGTTTCTCCTTTTCCTTCTCCCGCCATTTCGTTAATGGATTCCATTTCTTCATTTTTTTGGTCCAAATGACCTGAAATTTGGTATGGAGGTAGAGTAGGCAAATACCCTCAGGCGTATAATTTTTTTTTTTTTTGATACAGTCTTTTAAAGTGGTTTTATTTGAATTTTTACCATATATGGTATGCATGACCGCATTTGGCACAAATGGTATGCATGACCATATTTGGCACACATGACCTACTTAGTCAGTTGGGAGAAGTTTCTTGTAGCTGATTGGCTGATGGGCTAATGTGATCAAACTTAGGATAATCAAACAGATACAGGCCTAGGGTGGTATGGAAAGGCAATCTCCAAGGGGATATGTGGTGGCATAGATTGATCTAAAAGCAGATACTGCGGGGCATCGAAAGGTACATGTAATCTTCAAGCAGTTTTAAAGCATCACATAGGGTTTTGAGAATATCTGTTACTGAAAATCACTGGGGGTTTCTAGAACACTTTTAATAAGGCACGGTATGGGGGTTTTGAGAATAGTTTTTACCGAAAAGCACTGTGTGAGGCTTTCGAGAAGACTTGATAAAAAACACTGTATAGGGGTTAAATGAGCAACACATGGGGTTTTGAGAATATTTATTATGTATAAAAGCTGGAGGTTTCAGAACACTTCAAAGCTCTATATGGGCCATGGGGGTTACAAACAGGGGGAATGGAAAAGGTTGATTTGGAACAGACTACTAGTAGTAATGGGGAGGAAGAATGGGTGAAATATGCTTTATTTGCTCCTGAGCAAATGTTGGCCTTCCTGGTTTGCCAGATACATGTATCTTTTAAAGTTTATCGTGAATACCCCATGATTCATTACAAGCATTCATGTTGCCAGTCACAAAAATAATTGGTACATAAAATGATTGAGGTTACAATAATAATCTTCTTTATAAATGCAAGTTATTGCAAGAGTATTTAATGATTGCAAGCATCTTTCACCTGCTTTCCAGATGTCAAGAGACAGTACACCGTCGATGACATTGAGGTAGGATGCAGAACCCGGATTGACCAGCAAAGAACACCCAAGAACTGGTCCCGCCTGTCTGCTCTGAACCTGTTCTCGGACACCCTGCCCCTCCATCTGCAGGTAGCTGAGAGTCTGGAGTACCAGGGCTTCTCTTATGGTCTGGTTCAGGCTCTGGTGCAGAAGGATCAGCTTAGAGAACAAGAGATGAAGCAGCTCATCAAAAACCTGAAGAGAGCGGAGGTGGATTTCAACACAGTCATGACCTTGCGTTCCAAACTAACCATTTCAGAGCACAGGTTAAAGGAAGCCCTTGAGAATATCGCAGCTCTTGAAAAAGAGCTCCAGCAGGCCCGTGAATATGCAGAGAAAGCTGCTAAGCAGGTCACATCTCATGTGACGGAGTACAGGAAAGAGAAGCTGCCTGGTGACTGGTCATTGGAGTACAGAGGAGAAAAACCGCCTGGTGGCTGGTCTGCACAGATTGATGATGCAGGTGATGAGAAGACAACACGGGGAGAAAGTGATGTTGGTGAGAAAGCAAAAGAAGAATCGAGTGAAAAGGATGCAGACAAGATTGCTGCAATACCAGGCAGATTAGCATCAAGGGCAGAGACAGAGGCACCTGGTATATGCATTGGAGACTCTGAACAGGGCATCATCTCCTACGGCGAAAGAGGAACTGAACCCGGGCAATTTCGGTACCCACGTGGTGTTGTAGTGTCATCAAATCACGAGATATTTGTGGCTGATCGAGGCAACAGGCGAGTCCAAGTCCACAACACAGAGGGTGTCTACCTCCGCCACTTTCCAACAGTCGTACCGGGTACAGAGGACATGGAACCACACGATGTCTCTCTTGATGGTAACGGCACACTGTGGATTGTGGGGGATGGCCAATCAGCTGACCATGTTGTACAATACAGCACAGGTGGCATTGCCATGACACAGTTTGACCTTAAGAAGAAGGATTATTACCGTGGTATTGCAGTGGACATGCGCAATAGCCACATCCTGGTGACTGATGCAACCCTTGATGAAGTGCAGGTATTCCGTCCAGACGGATCTCTGGTGCGGAGGTTCAGACATCCAGAGCGCGAGATGCAAATTCCGCGGTACATCACTGTGGACAGGGAAGGAAACTGCCTTGTGTCAGACTGGGTCACTCATTCTATCTTCATGTTTGACGAGTCTGGGAAGTTCCTGCTGAAGTTTGGAGGGGAGGGAAGTGGTGAAGGTCAACTAATGAATCCTCGTGGCATCTGCACAGACAGTTTGGGTCACATCATCGTGGCAGACTATGGGAACAGGAGGATACAGATGTTCACACGTCACGGCGAGTATATCCGTACCATTGATACTGGGTTTGTGGCAGCAGGCGTGGCTGTGGGACCGGAAGGGCAGTTGGTAGTGACTAATTGGGACAGCTATTCAGTGACTGTTTTTCCTAGTTATCTATGAGTTTATTGCTTTGATAGTTCTTTCATGTTGCCGAGCATATGTGAAGAGAGTCATGATGTTTAACAATCTGTTGTTTAAAGGTAGATTCCATTTGCATAAAATCTATGACATATATTAATAATCAAATCACATAATATCTTGTTGTTTCTCTCCAGTAATTTTCCTCCAAAGTTTATAATCAGAATAAAGTACAACTTGATGTCAGCAATAGAAGGGTGATACTGATGATGATGCAGATGTATATAGAAGAACTTTATTGCACGACAATTGCACAGGGTACAATGTATGGCAAACTACATAAAGAGAGTAACAACAATAAAATAAGTGTTGAATACGACCCAATGTCGAATAAAACCTAACATATCTATATCATAATCATTCAAATAATAAGGGATATCACAAGTCTTTGATTAAGTGTTACAATTGAGTGGGCTAATCACAAGTTTCGGTATTTTTTCTAATAGCATTTAAGCATTCCTTTATATATCTAGTACCTATTTTTGTGTTGTGGGGACCATTACATGTAAAGATATATTCAAATCTGTCTCCAACATGGAGACTCTTAAAATCTATGGTTCTTGATTCAAGAAATGTAAATAGCTTGTTACGTATAACATCATATTTGGTACATTCCATAACAAAATGAAATTCATATATTATAGATCCATCAGTCTGGTGCTTTACTGGATCAGGGACCAATTATCTTTGTACAATTTTTAGGTGGCTGTTTTATGCAAATATCAGCTACCAGGTATTATATTTTGTATTAGCAGTGCTAAAACTTGAACAACCTCTTACCTTCACCAAATGATGTTCATATGTTTGATGGACGAATTATGTTTCTCATTGAGTATATAAATAAGATCCTCATTTGCATGAATTATAGTCCACACAATGGGTCTAAGACTACAACATGTATTCTAGCATTACCTGATGAATTATGCAAGTAGATGGGTTGACTTGTTTCCAAGTAATCCTTCGAGACAGCAAAATATGTTCAGTCTTAATTCCCCACAAGTCACAAAGTCTTTCTTAATTCCTCTTGCTATCGTCTTCTTGTTGGTGTTACTTTAATTTGTATAGATGAGGAGAGTGCCTTGATAAGTTTTGATATTGATATAGTGCCTTGATATTACTTTTATTCAATCCTCTGAGAATATATGTGAATAAGCTTAAGATGAAATCAATGAAATGGTCTCCCATTAGTTGTTCAATTATGACATAAAATCATGGCCATCCTACTTCTATTAAAGTTCCTCATGCATGGGAAAAGATTTTGCCCTTTCATTTTTGCCGTATAATTGATGTATACTCGGCCACGGAGGCAATCTACGGTCTCCGTCGGTTTTGATGCTTAGTGCTAGTGATGAGGTCCCTGTGGACCACCGATACTCCGCATCATCTCACACTTAGCGCAGACGAACTTCTTTGGCTCTAAGCACCTTCGGGCTAGAAAAATGTGGACAGAAATAAATGAACAGACAGGGAACTCTTGACACAAATGCTCCCTGAGACGCCTCATATAATAGAGTATCGTTGACACGCCGTCCAAAGTTCACCATGGAAATGAATTTGCCTCTACCTTTCATCTATTTGTTACATTCGCAGTCACGGAGACAGTCAAAGGTCCCTGTTCCCCACAGAAGTTCGTGATTGGACCTCAGTAGATGGCTGTTATCTGACATAGGATAACCTCGCAAGTTGGCAGATACAAATGCCTACACTGGCCCCTCTTAATACAAGGTCTCCCCTGGGGTATACAGAGCGATTTAGAAGTTCACCGACTGCTAGTTCATCTGCAGTTCGCCTTGGGAATAACTTTGCTTTTGCTCGCAACCAGTGGTTCATTTGTAGTTAGTCACAGAGACAATTATAAGAGCGTGCGTTCTCGTGTGGTGCTGCGTAATTACGTCCCAAAGGATTTTCTTTATTTGCGGATGAAGGTTAGACATCCAAGTAATGAGATACACGTTTACACACACACACACTGTTTAATGGTTACTATCACCCACACCATTGGGTCTAATATTTGGAACTTTAACGTACTAATATATATAAATTGTTTTCTATTGTGGGGCGTTGGGAGTGAGGTAGGAAAATTACAGACAATAAAGTTAACGATTAACATTCATGACATGAATGACATTTCAAATGATTTTAAAAATGCGAACATCTAGAATTGAGATTTTTAGATTTCACAAACAAAACAATGGCACCCCCATGAAACTCCTTCCTCTTCGCCCCCGCCGTTCTGCTTCGCCCCCGCCCCGTTCTGCTTCGCCCCCGCAAAAAATCTGCTTCGCCCCCGTCGTTCCTCTACGTCCCCGGCGCAATTCTGCTTTGCCCCCGTCCTTCTGCTTAGCCCCCAATGGCGGCACAGCTCACAGTCGACACGAAAATCGTCTGCAAAATAACAATAAAGGCTGTGCCGCCAAATTTAAAGTAGCCCATGCTCCGGCAAACATTCTGGACCACCTTTCTGCCAAGTGGCGTTGCACAAATCCTTCCCATTCAAAAGTTTACCCCTACCTCACGGCCCGTCAGTGGTTCTTACGTTTATAAGTACTGGCGTTTATAAGTACAGCCGTGAGTGAAATTTCCCGCCAGTACTTATAAACGTAAGAACCACTGACGGGCCGTGAGGTAGGGGTAAACCTTTGAATGGGAAGGATTTGTGCAACGCCACTTGGCAGAAAGGTGGTCCAGAATGTTTGCCGGAGCATGGGCTACTTTAAATTTGGCGGCACAGCCTTTATTGTTATTTTGCAGACGATTTTCGTGTCGACTGTGAGCTGTGCCGCCATTGGGGGCTAAGCAGAAGGACGGGGGCAAAGCAGAATTGCGCCGGGGGCGTAGAGGAACGACGGGGGCGAAGCAGATTTTTTGCGGGGGCGAAGCAGAACGGGGCGGGGGCGAAGCAGAACGGCGGGGGCGAAGAGGAAGGAGTTTCATGGGGGTGAATGGGATATTAGGTGATGCATTTGACCAATTAAAGCGGTCAGGTGTACATATCCTGCAAATTATAACTTTATATCTATCAAATCCAAATGTCAATTTTATGTTGAACTAAAGTATTGCATGCTAGTTGTTTTGTCTGTTTGCCGATAGACCCAATATTAACCTTCAAAGCTGCTGCTAACTGTGAATGAATGAATGAATGAATGAATGAACTTATTGCTCGACAATCGTACATTGTACAATGTGTGGCAGTAAGATAACAACACTACAAAACATTATCTTACAGTTCTTACTACAAACTACTATCGATGCAGTATATTAGTTACAAGATGGTTACGTATTGATGATGTCGTCTCACTTATGGAATGAAGTAGAGTACAGTTATATATTACACAGCGGTGCAATATAACATTGGTTGACAGGGGGCGCATGATCGGGCTAAATATTGACGAGGTCAAATCATCCCATGTTTTATTGTAAATCACATTCGACAACTATCAATGATGTAGAACGCTGAATTTCAAATCAGATTTCATGGCAAAGGACTCAATACAATCATTTGTTACACAGCGGACGTAGAATTTGAAGTAGAATCTCTTTTTTCTTCCGTCTCTATTCAGGAATCTTGCCTGCTGTCCCCACCTTGGTTGTTGAGTTACTAGATCCTTTGGTACTCGTAATAACGGTTATCGCTGAAAAATTTGTCAGCATTGTTAATAAGAATTGTTAAGGTTAGTCTGCCATACAAGTGATGTCGATAACCCCTTTATTCCACTGTCCTTTCCATCCTACATGCTTAAGATCTATCTGGCGAAAAACAAACAAACAAACAAACAGATACGTCGATGAAGGTTAGACATCCAGGTAATACGATATGCCAAAAAACAGTTACTCAAGCAACTGGATATGATTTTGAAAACGTCAGACGTTTCAGCTAGTATCCACTAGCTTTCGTCAGTGACTGAGAGACCAGAGGGGAAAGCAGGTTGGTACCTCACAAGGGTACCAAGGCGAATGTTATTTACAGACTCAAATGTGAGGAGCCCAATTGTAACAACACCTACATCGGAGAGACAAGTCGACCGCTTAAAGTAAGGTACAAAGAACATTGCCGACCTAGTGCCAACGGCTACTCCTCAGATATTTTCCACCACCTACAACACAACCAGGGTCACCCTTTCAAACTCGAGTCCACGGATGTCTTAGACCGCGAAACACGCTGGTGGGAACGGAGTGTTAAAGAGGCAATATATGAAAGAATGTACAACCCCACCCTCAACAGGGAAGGGGGGCTACGGGTCGATCTTTCCGGCACTTGGGATTTGGCACTCCCAGCCCCGAGGACAGACAACACTTAAGCTCCTGTCCTGTATAACAGGAGCTTTCAGACTAATTTGCATCATCTTGTCTTGACTTGTCTGACTTTTGTTCCTTTTTCGACTTCCAAAAATTTGTCTTCACTTTATTTGCATATCAATCAACAGGTTGTGTATATAAACCTGCTTTCCCCTCTGGTCTCTCAGTCACTGACGAAAGCTAGTGGATACTAGCTGAAACGTCTGACGTTTTCAAAATCATATCCAGTTGCTTGAGTAACTGTTTTTTTGGCAAAACAAACAGATAAACGAACAAACAAATCGAAAAGGGTTTGATAAATAACATGCAGCGTATTTCATTCTCGGGCGATGTTATGGTTATGCTGTAGACAGACTTTTGGAAAAAAGATTCAAGAATGATGTTCGTCCATCGTAGTCGAACAACATTTAACTTCAATTTTATAAAAAATTTAGAACTTCACAAATTATTATACCACTGACCTGACACAGCAACAGTGACAGTCACAGCGACAGTCACAACAGCAGTACCAACAACACAGAATCAGCGCGATGACTGAAGCACTCACGGACAAGCCGATTACAAGTGACTTAGAGATGCCTGAGAGAAGACAATGCATTTTTTTAATTTCAAATTTTAATTTCCGGACCGACCGTAGCGAAAAACCGCCAATCCTTCCGTTTTTTTTCCGTCAACCACTCCTGGCAAATCCATTCAATTTTCGATCTGATATCTAAATTTTAATCCCTTTCAAAAGTTATTTCTAGGATTTTTAGATGTCAGTCAATACCATATAGGTACATGTATGGGTGAAATATATTGTTTTATATTTTACATTATCATATTCATAAGTACCCTACAGGGCCACTTGGGTAGGTTATACTTTCCTATGTCTAGATGCAGATTAAGTTAACCCCTTGTTTTTTTGCTGTGGTACACGGCGTAAACGTCTTCTTTGTATACATCTACTAGTATGACAAATGGCGAGATATGTTACTGTGACCCTGGTCTAATAGTGACCACCCGACTTACCCTCTTGACCGCTAGGTGTGGTCAGTGGCCATGGATTTACAGTTGTAGAAATCGTGGTGGGAGAATCATTTGGTGGGGTGGGCTTTTCGACGAGTCTCAGGCCAAAACACACTGCCACTACCAGTATGGCAAGGCCTACACACACCGACAGTATAACGGCAACGTAACAACATGTGCTGTTCCTTTTCGCCATGATGGTGAGGTGAGTGTAGTTTCAGGCTATAATCATGGTACAAAGTGCACCGACGACGCTGTTATTTTGAGCTGTAGTCACTAGAAACTATAGCCTCCGTAACAGCTTCTAGGTACGGAACGCATTTTGAAATTGCCACGTTAATATGCTGATTACTTAGTAATGCTTTTGTAGTTGCTACCGTGTCCCGTTTTCAAGAACATATGAGAAAAAACAACTAGAAAACAATACAATACAATAACAAGCAAATACTAGTATCACCGGAAACATCAAAACGCCACCGTTGAAAGAGGCTGCGAACGAGGCTATAGTTTCGGGTAAACATGCTTATGCAGTGACCTGGAACGGCCGTGGAACGTGACGAGTTAATGATTAAATTATTTAATCATTACCTTCGCCAAGAAGGTTATGTTTTCAGTAGCGTTTGTCCGTTTGTCTGTCCGTTTGTTCGTTTGTGAACAGCATAACTCAAGAAGCTTAATATGCATTGTCATGAAACTTGGTAGGTGGGTAGGTCTTGATGAGACCTAGAAATGATTAGATTCTGGGCCCCCTGGCGACTTTTGTTGGTACTGCAGCAGAACTTCCGGTTTTGATATCTCACGATCTGGACATGCCAGGGGGTCACGAATTTTTGTTGGTAGATAGCTCTTGTTCTGGAACTGCAAAAGCATTTGTTGAAAAATTTTCGAATTAAGGAGGATAACTCAAGAACCGGTTGACGGGTTGTCATGATTTTTGGTATGTGGGTACCCGAAGTGATGCTTGACATAATCAGATGACAATTATGCAAATCAGGAACTAATTTGCAGAATTAATAAGGACATTCTATAAATCTGCTTTGTTCAATAATAGGACTATGAAACACTTGTGACATGTAATTGAGAACGAAAAAAACAACTGAGGATATAGATTATGTAAATGAAGACCTAATTTGCATAATTAATGGGAATTTTTTTATTTCATAGTTGTAACTGCTGGGAATGTCATACTTGGCAGTGGCACATTTGGAAGTTAAGTGAAGGCGAACATCAATAAATATAATTTAATGAAATCATGACCTCATTTGCATAATTCATGAGGAAGTGCTAGAATAGCCTTTTTGTTAACATAAGGCTGTCATTGGGTGGAGAATATTTGCTGGCGAGGGAAATACCATTGTAAATATACTGGTCATACATTCGTATGGATATGCATACAAAGGTAACGTAAAATCGCCCTTACGTTATGCTGACGACACACACACACACACAAACACACACACACACAAACACACACACAAACACAAACACACACACACGCAGACAAACCAACAGACAGACAGACAGGAACAACAACAATGCCTCCTCTTTTCATGAAGTTCATAATAGAACAACTGTTTATCTTATAGATATAAAATCAGTGCACCACACCATGTATACAATACCATAAAACCACAAAAAATACATAATATGCACACGAACACAAAATATCTGCATTATACATGTATCATCGTCATCATCATCGCCACATTTTAGTGTTTTGGCTGTCGTTGTCTTCTCAGGTTTCTTTATACTGTTTCGCCCCCTCCCATCTGCAACCCATCTGTATAGTTCCGTTTCACTATACCTCCCCTGGGTGGTTTGTAGCGTTATCCAAGAGCCGAACAGAAAAATCTAGACAAGCCACTTTTTGACTCGAATAATGACTTATATACGTCTTGTGAAATCCTTGGACTCGTGTCTTATCCGTGTTTCCATCCACTTGTGTCATTACCGTTCGGAATGTCTCAAGAGTGGTACAATACAAGTTAAGACTCAAATCATCGATAAATTAAAAAAAAGTGAAGGTCAGTGCCTGATTTACTGATAAAGGTTTTTTGTGTATTTACATAATACGTCATAACACATCATATCACATCACATCAACACTAACAAGAAGAAGTCGTAGACATCATCCCTCCATGAAATATTTTGTGGTTTTGTTAATTGTTTTGGTATATCTTATGTTATGATATGTTATTGAGGATATGTTTGTTTTTATCGCCCATCCTCTCCCAGCAATTAGCACCACTGTGAGGATAAGGTGATAATGTGATAATGCAAACTATCAAGGACGTCGTTGTTTGCATAAGCTTAAGTGGTGAGATTATTAACAGATCTAAGACTGGTGTCTTGTGATTCCCATAGATCTACGAATATCTGTGGTGCACACACGGTATCTGGGTCCCCTTTAATACCAGGGCTGGTTTACTTTAGAGATACAATTTGAAAGAAACTTTTATTACTAGTGCCTGACACACATTGAGAACTGGCCTGTGGCTAAAGATAGGCAAAAAAGGCTACACGGCAGGTCCCACATTTGGGGTCAGTGATCATGACCTGCCAACAAAAACACAGACAAGTGGTCAGAAGATAAGCTGACCCCACACAGACTATACCACCCTCTTGTAAGAAGGGGTGAAAATGAAAAAAAAAATTAAACACGCGCTACATTTCTACAACAAACAGCTAATGACGCAAAGGCGCACAGTAACTACCCACTTACCAAAAATTGTCGCAATCCATCCAGCGGTTCTTGAAATCATCACGCCGAAAGCAATCGAAAATCAAACAACCGCGCAGGTCCAAAACAAACCCATACATCAACAACTACATGTTACCCTAACATCACATCCACAAACCATCCAACGCCAACGATATTTAAAAAAAAAATTCTTACTGCAGTACCAAGGTCACTCGCCAGGGGCCCAAAGTTGACCAACAGAATTCCCTATACCCCACCTACCTATCTGCCAAATATCATTGCATTCCGCCACACAGTTCTTCAGATATGAGGCAAAACATCATCCAGACTAAAAAAATGCACACCATTTCATGCAGTGCAATAACAAAAAACACCGCAAGCTTCTTTCTTGACCGCAAGCTTGACTTAGATTTTGCCAGTGGGCAGGCTGGAGAAACCATTGTCGCCAACGCCTAACTTGGAACTGACGATTTTAGAGGTGGTCGAAGTGAAGCCGTCCGCTGCAGAGGCGGAGTACGGCGGAGGCTCCTCCCCTGTAGGCCCGCTGCTGGGCTGTCCTTGCGCGGTGCTGGGCTGTCCTCCCGGGCCGCTGGGTTGTCCTCTCGGGCCGCTGGGCTGTCCTCCCGGGCTGCTTACTGCTGCTGGGGCCACGGCAGACTTCCCAACTACCTTCGCGGCGAGTTTGACTCCGAAGACGGCGAGGGCGGCCACACAAACGGTGCCCAAGACGCCACCAAGGGCAAGGACAACAGGAGATTGTTCGTCATCTGGAGGGATATATACATTAAACAGACGATCAGGGATATACCAGAAAGAACTACTCTCCAATTGCAGCAGTTCCATTTTCTGTCACTACCCCCACCAATGTAGCGACAGAACAAAAAAATGGAACATATTAGAAAGGTCACAATCTTCCCCACCGACCTCTGCTTGGAGAATAAGAAAGAACACGTAATGGTATTTATAAACCTCTTTGTCAGTCTGCGGTCACACCATTTCCTCCCACACCTCCCGTGCCTCTACCGTATTCAAATAACTAGGGACACACGAGCAAACAAACAACACTGAAAAAAAGAAGTAAATGTACCAGGCAATGTCTAAACTTTATTGAAGTTCTTCGTTTATCCCAGATCATATCTAACACGTTCCACAACATAGTGGGGAAAAAACTATGAATTAACGTCTACCCATACGGGGAATGCAACTACTAGTGTCTTTGGGGGAGTATATGTAGGGCAAGCGCGAAATGTTCAGAAGCAGCCTTGCGCATAAGCCTATGTTGATTTGATTATATGGATTACATCCCCTGGGAACCCCAAAACTGATGCGAGCGTGCGAATAAAAAAAGTTTTGCAAAAAAAAGTTCCTTTCATATATACTAGAGTACATAAAATCTACGTGGTTATGAAGATTGAACAAAGGACACAGAATATGGTATAATCTACTCTTCAAATTCATTTCTTTACATTTTCGATTTCGTCTTTTTCGTTTGATTTTGACATTCTACGACATTGGTATCGTTTTCAAATATATGCTTTTTACAACTTACGGTGTGTATTTGCTCATTTTGCAACTGCACGATTTACAGTAAGGTTTAACTTTTTTTTAAATGGCCGAAAATTCTTGCGCGCGATGTCATCCATATAATCAAATCAACACGGCCTAATGTCAGAACCGGACATACCAGAACCGTCGTCTGCACCTTCCTGTAAGATCGGCCCCGATGAGATGGTGACTCTGGTGTCGCCGGCAGCCCGCCGGACTCGCCCCGCCTCCTCCCCGGGCTGGGTGGAGGGGAGCCACCGCCGACCACTGCGGGTAGCACACGTCTGGGGAAGGTACGTGTTTGTTTACTATATTTGAATTAACCATTGAATACAACGGATGAGCAAAACAAAACAGGTGATATGAATGACCTCTACAGTACAGTTTGTCTCCCTACAACATACAAATTAAACAATATAATAAAGTTGGGGCGCAAAAAGACCATCATTCTCTCTCTCTTTGCTGAACAAGTGTTCAGTGAAAAAGGAAATGAGATGAAATAAAGTAGGTATTCCACAGAAATGAGATTTCTGAAAGGAGGTTATGAGTGAAATGAAATGACGGTTATTGGCTCTCATTGAAGAACCTCGGAGAGTTCATTGAGCGCTCAATGATCTGCAAATTTTTCCAATGGCCTCGCTCAGCGATTGCCGCCTCGTGGAAAGGAGACTTTACCGCGCGGTCACACATTCGTCGCAAGTCGTCGTCAGATTTTGATGCCGTACAATTTTCCTGCAGGTTGTGACAGAACCAAAACGGCCTTTCCCGTAAGAAGACTGTTTAATTTTGCTGGACACATGCACAACTCTCTCAAGAATGCCCTCAGATTTACGATCGTAGGACAGTCGCACGGCGTACATGTATGAGACAGGGCCCTTATGCAAGAGTCACATTTCCAACGGGGCCCGCGCGGCACGTTCCCGGTCTAGACGCCGGCCGACGCCGGCTATCGTGGCTTCATCCCGGCGTATTTCTCTCGCTGGGGCCCGGGGTGATTTTGTAAAGTCCAAGTTAAAATCAACTCGGCGCCCGCGCGGAGTCAGACATAGGGCGGCAGCCTTCGCGACCCCCGTTTGGCCCCGCCGGGGCGCCGTCCGATAGTGCAAAAAAAAAAAAACAGCCCGCCGGGGCGCCGCGCAAGCCCCGGTTTGGAATTGTGACCCAGGCATTTAAGGGAAGTGATGACAGTGCTTACCGGCGCACAGGCTCCCGGGCTGACCTGGTCGCACACGCTGATGGTGCAGTGCAGGTACACGCGGGGGTGGCTGGCGAACCGGAACATCTGCACACGGAAACGCGCCTGCTTCGACTGGGCGTTCTCTATGATGTAGATGGTCCCGTCTTCAGTGTTGGGACATCTAAAAGCAACAGATAGATAGATTGAAATTTGTTACAAAACAATGTTGCTGTTACCGGTATATTACACAGTGAACGTGATGGTATACAGATATTGCTAATATAATCCATTCTATATTGTTAGAAAACAAGATACAAATTTAAGAAATTCAATGATTCCAGATAATAGGTAGTTATAACGGAAATGACAACAATAAAAGGTCTATATCACCAAGCCTCTTCTCTCCTCTCAAATCATGTGTGGCACATTTGCACAGCGAGCTTTAGAATTACATCGTAGGTTTGACATGACATGCCATGCGAGAGCGACCTTAGTTGAATATGTCTTTTGTGAGTATTCTAAAACAACATGTGGTTTGTTTCCTACATAATAAACGTATATTTCTTTATTCCAACAATTCATGACAACACATTATGCCGCCATCAACGCAGAGGACAAATGCAGGACAGGACAATACTCATTTTCACCTGAGTGGAGTGAGCTGAAAGTCGTGTAAAGTGCCAAGATCGAAGGCATGTCAGGACTTGAACACAGAACCTCTTGGTCCTGAGTCGAGCACTTTGCAGTTACGCCACACGACCCCACACCATAAACGTATATACTCAGTCATAATACTAAAGTTATGGATCAGGATGCGAGCCTGGCGGTACTCACCCGTCGGTAGTTATTGGGTACCGGGTCGGGTCCTCCGCGTTGTTGGTCGGGGTTGCCCAGCAGTTCCTGAGCCTGAGGACCAGCTCTGCGTGACTGACGCCCTGCAGGTTCAGCCCCACGTACAGGTTATCCTCCAGCGTGATGGACGGCGTTGTTGAGTACGCCGTGCCGAAGGTCGCGCTCTGGAACAGCCCCATACTCACCCGGAACTCGCCGCTCCCCTCTACCGTGAATTCCTCCGTGCTGGAAGGTTCGAAGTTTAGAAAGTCATTTCCTTCCTGAAAGGTCTAGCAAGCTTTCAATCAGTTCCCTGACCCTTCTCAAGTTGAAATGACCTCCTTAGTAGACGTTTTTCAAGAAACATCAATTTGGTTTCATTTTCAGTGAACAAAGCAAAAAAAAGTGAATCATTCGTACAATATATATCTTGTGAGTAGACAGCAGAGGGCCAGGGGCATCCGCCGTTAAGAAGATATCTCTCATCACAGCATCATACTGTAGTAGCGGCGTCTTTGAACCACCAACATGGCGGGCGCCTTAAGTCATAGTCACGTGACTGTGAGTACTTACGTCACGACAGGGTTGATGCCGCCCGTCAGACTGACGCTCAGGTCCACCGGGTAGCGACACGTGACGTTCACGGCCAGCAGCTTGCCTCGCCAGATCTGCACGCCGGACGGGATCCTGCTGTTGATGGTGTTGGTGAAGACGAAGTGATCACCGACTTGCTGCAGAGGTGGTGATTGTATACCGGGAGTTATTATGACGTGTTGTAGAGTACCGTTTGCAAATGTCAGAGATTGTAGGTCTCGCCCCCTCTGAAAACCTATATAAAAACCGCAACGAGTCAAACACACACGCAGACTCACGCACGCACGCACGCACAAACAAACAAATACACAAAATCACAAACACACAACACACACATACACACGTGCACACACACACACACACACACACACACACACACACACACACACACACACACACACACACACACACAGAGTAGGGTCAGTAGAGTCCTTACCTCTTTCTCCGTACCACAAGCCGACAGACTTGAGATGTTGAACGTGTAGTAGTTCCCGTCGTCCCTTGCGAGGCAGGTGGTCTGCTGAAGATGTAGATCAGCGGCCGAGCTAATCTCGAATGACGTCAGAGAGCTTTTCTCCAACTTCACGGAGATTGACCCCGACCTGCAGGTCACTTCCAAGGAGATTTCGGTCCCAACTAGAGGACAAACATTTTGGTCCCAACAAGAGAGAGAGATACATATAAATTTGCACTATATCCATACACAAAGTAAAGCGCTTACAAGCAGGCTTTCAATCATCTGCAGACAGTATATATTATGCAGCTACACTACATGCACGTGCACTCAAAGAAACAAACGGCGACTCACGAGCGTCCAGCCTGCGGTGTAGCTGGTCCCGCACGGCCATGAGCCCTAGGATGTCGGTGTGTGAGCTGACTGTGTAGCGGTAGGAACTGTTGGTGGCGATGTTGTTCAGCTCGCTGCTGTTGATGCTGGAGCCAACTCCCACCGAGGCCAGGATCAGGCCCGCGTCTTTGGCGCTCTGGGCAGGGCCGGTCACGTAGTCATCTGTGGAAGCGGATTGAAACACAGCAGCGAGGAATCAGGTATTTGATGCTAAATGTTTTTTGTATAGTACTTATTATTTATATCTAGCTAGTCATCCATACATCTATTGTTTGATACATTCATCCAACCGACCGACCGACCGACCAATCATTCATGCAGTGAATCATTCGTTCATCACTAATCATGATGTTGAAGTTGACTTACTCGAATTAGAATCCGTGATGACCACGAGGACTTTGGGAATGCCGTTCCTCCATGACAGATAGTCTGTGGCGTATTTGATGGCGTTTCCCGTCTTCCTGTAGCTTGTGGTTCTCCAGATCGGGATACCGTCTATGGCAGAGTTCACCTAGGGTGGCAGGGTGTTCTTGTGGTTAGCTAGCGTTAGCTAGACTTGGAATCTAAAGGTTCTGTGTTCGAATCCCTAGCGCAGGCTCCTGTGTTATGCTCTTGGGTACGGCATTTAACACATATTTTCAAACCAAGGAGAGCCAGTTTTTGAAGAGAGTCACACTTCGAGTAGCAAAAGGAAACCGCCTTACCGAAAATATTAGGGGTCCTTCCTTATGAGAGTACACAGCGGCCTTACGCAGCTTGTACTTACTGCATAAAATTAGCTCTAACTCTACACAGCTGGTTATGAAAAACAAAAAACAAACAAACAAACAAACAAACAAACACCTGTGTCCGGTTCAGGTGGGTCAGCAGATCAAAGTGGCTGTGCATGACAGACGTGTACTCGATGACCGCTACCCGTGCGGCCGTCAGCCCGATGTTGAGCGCGGCGACGACGCTTTTCATGAACGTCTTGACGTCGTTATTGCTGACGGAGGAACGCGGACGGGCGAGCAGGAAGACCAGGTCCAACGCTTGGGTTGTAAACTCTGTGTCAATTACAAGGTGATACCAACATAAGAAATGCGATTACTAACCCTCACCATAACGGAAGATGGGTAGTGTATTTGTTAATACCGTGATGATACTAATTATTTTGTTCTTAGATTCTTATATATCTAAACCAGTTTGAACATGGGTTAGGTATATGCATGAAAAGTTGGATTTACCAAAGGTTGTAAATTCAGGTAATGTTTACTATGTACACAGTATCTGGCTTTACAATCGTAGCAAATTATGTCTACCATGATTGATGTCAAATTAAATTGTACAGCAAGACACAATTTAGCCAATGGCTACAAGGTCTTGTTTTGTTTTCACAAAAAACATTTGATTGATTGATTGATAACGATCAATTGTAGTAATTTCCTTTACAACCCTTGTTAAGTCCTTGACCTTTATTTACTGCCATTGTAAAGTTCAGAAGTGTTTATTTAAAAAACGAAGTAAACATTACTCAACTATACTGGTATCGGTAAATTACGTGATGATACATAACATACCAGGGTTAAGATCTAAGTGGTTGTAGGTTTGGATGGGATGGGACTTAGATTGATGACTTGTAACCTATGTAAAGTTTTGTGGCCAGAGAATTTTGATAGAAATGATGATTGCCTGGGTTTCATGTTGTGTAACCACTAAGACGTGCATTCCATTTTGACTTGACTCTTCAGTAGTAGCACGAGGATGGTTTTCTATCCTTACCCACGCACGCCCCAGAGCTCGTCAGACGATACCTCGGCACACAGGAGCAGTAGTAACTTCCCACAATGTTAGTGCAGATTTCACTACAGCTGCCGTTGTTCGTACTGCACTCATCGATGTCTGTAGTGTACAGATCACCCATTTTCATTCTGTCAAATTCCTACAGGCTGAACGCTTAGCATGTTGTTTAGGCATGACAGTAACACACACAAACAAACAAACAAACAAACACAAACACAAACACAAACAAACACAAACACAAACACAAAGTTAACACACTGCACACACCATTTTTATGGAGGTAATAACTATGGATACACAATCAACCTTTACTCGCTGGCCCGATAAAATATCTGGATAAGGCAACTGGTCCCAGCTTACCGCTCTGGCAGCATGTCCCAGTGTATCCAGATGTACACACACAGCGGCTGCCGGACACGTAGCCATTGTTGTAGCAGATTCTGTTACAGTTCCGAGTTTCCCTGCTCGATCCGCTACAACTACTACCTCCACACTGGGCATGGGCAGCAACGGATCTGGTGTTCCATTTCAAGAAGGCAAGGCATTACCATCACGACTTTAGTGTGTATTCTAGTTTGTTAAAAGATTATAAGAGATTAAGCAAACCCTCCCAATTTCAACCCACAACGTTTCAAAATCAAAGGTCATCTCCATCTCCTAGCATAGTCACCTATACCTTCCACCAACTTAGTTTTGTGGCCAGAAGTGGTATTTGGCCTGAGCAAACATAACAAATATATGAGGACATGTATATTGATGCTCAACACGATCGAATATGAAAAGACATGTCAGAATCAAAAAAGGTAATATTTTCTGTGGTACTATTGAAAAATAACCTTGGCCAATTAAGTTATACCAATGAATTATTCCCCCAAATACCATTTGGCACCCGTTCAGTCTTTGTACGATCTTTGCGCGACCGCAAACTAAAATCATTCTGAGGATATCGATAGTCGTACATTTGCAGGTATCGTGTTAAAATCGTGTTAGAATTCAGCTGTTTTCCCACTAATTAATAAGAAAGTTGTCTTAATTAGATCCTTTTCGGTGGTCCTGTCACAGTCTGCTTTAGAATACTACATCAAAATCGTACGAGGACCTATGACGAATGTGACCGTGCCATTGGGAAGCATAAAAATGCAGTTTAACACCTCTACCTTGTCCTGGACTGGGTACCGGACGGTCCGCATGATGTAGAACAGCTGGACCAGCTAGACCACGAACCCCACCGGCAGTTGACGGCAGAACAACTCCGGCGGCGTCGGCGCCACGAGTTCGACCCGTCCGGCCACAGCATCAGCCCCAACAGCAGCACGACTAGGATCGTCCTAGGCTGCATTGTAGTCTCCAGCTAATTGCCTGGACTAACGAACACATTTGTCTCTCAAAGCAGGAAGGTACATTTCTACTTGCTTCTCACCATATCGCGTTTCAAGATCATGACAAAAATTTGTCGCATATGACCAAAGGCAACAGATAACTTTTGACACCACACAAAATTATCAATGAAAAGCTTTTCTTAAGTGTCATATAGACAATTAAGCACAATCACATGATAATATAAAGCTGGAGATTGGTGAATGTTATCTTGTTGTAAACCTTACAATAGACATATTTTTCGTCTTTCCCATGTAACTTGCAATCTGCTTTCGGGCAAGACTTTGCGATAAACGTAACTTTAATTGACTTCATTTCAGAACACAACAAATTGCACAATGAACCGAATTAAACTAAGTGTAAAACTTACCGTCAAGGGAAAAAAGTGGAAAGCTTCACGGTGTGTTGTCAAGCATGAACAGTTGTGCTAAAACTTCTCGACAAACTGCTATTCGCCTAGAATGTGACGAGACGAGTGGCCCCAGGCCAAAGCTGCGTCCTCAAATGACCAAAAACAATTCAAGTACAAGTAGGTATTTGCTGAAATGTACCCCATATATGGTCATTTTTATCCTGATTGGTCGCAAGTTTCGTCAACAGCTAATATTGAAATATAGAGCTACAACGTATATGGCCTTTTCGAAATACCCTTTGTCTGTAAAAAATTAAAGTGCTTTTGTAACTGCGACCACCTGCAGATTTTGCCTAAAGCCTTATTTTATAGTATATACCATCAGCACAACAACTTAACCACGTACGCTATCTTAACCTCCAGGCAAGATCCTGTACTAAGGTGTTGGGTGCTTGTTTTTCTTAAGCTGCACTGTGTAGCACTGATTCGTGCTCAGTTTCCCTTAGATTCGTGCTCAGTTTCCCTTAGGTTGCTGAAGCTATTTATTAATTTTGTGTCCTAACAGGAATTCCAAACATACGTCAACATTATCCAGGGACACTGTGGGTTCTCTGAAACATATCTGTCCTTGTTTATATATTAGTAGTATTTTCGGGTGATTTAAGATTCTGGCATATATTGCAGGTAAGTTTGGCAATATCAACATACATAAACCGTGCTTCACAACAATTACAGCCAATACTTCATTCAAACGTGATGTGCATCCCCTGCAGAGTACAGAAATAACCGTAATCTCTTCTTCAAAACTGTTTACTCAGCCCCTTGCCTAAGTTTTATAGCGATGTGGCGTCATACAGCTTTGGTGTCATAATTATTGCTCTGATAGTACTTCCTTATAGCTTGACTGTCAAGATTTACATAATGTAAATGCGAGAACGTATAAACTACAGCGTCACACATAGCCGAATGTGGCCTCCAGAACACTGCCAAACTCCTACCAACCATGGTTGGAAGTAGGTCCGGAGGAAGGTCGGTTGTAGTCGGCTGATGTTCGGATCGCATCCACACCCGAATGTTTGAAACATGATGGGAGGTTGGGCCATGGTTGGCTGGTCATTAGGAGTAGGCTAGCAGTGGTTGGGGCGTGTTCGTGGGTCAAATTTGACTCAAATTTAACATAAATTTGTAACGAAAGGCCTATGTCTGGTCAGACTGACCCCCCCCCACTCCAGAAGGAAGGAGGAAGGTTTTGAGTGCGGCAGGGCTAGGAGCTTTAACAAGACAGCAGTATTTGTACAACACAGGCATAGGTAAATAACCCCGGGTTGCGCTCGTGTGATGGATGTCACTTCGGGGCTCTTGAAGAAGAAAATGGCGTGATTAACAACCCTAAACCACACATCTGCTGAAAGAGATACTGAAGAGAAATAAATAGTACAGGTGAGAGTTCACAAGCGGGCTTGCAAAGATAGGGTGAATAACCTGAGACACGGGAGGATGTAAAAGTCGACGTAAACATGGTCCAAATCAAAACAGAGCCATAACTCAAAGTTTTAAGGCGTATTTCATGTACAAGTCAATTGGTCAAGATTTGTTGCTCAATGTTTGTTGAATAGACAGGCACGTTGCGAACACGTTTTCAATACCGCACAACTGTTTAACCTTCTGGACCACTTAGATTTTATGATGAATGCAGCTTTTAATTTGTTTTCTGCACGCTTGCTTCAAAGACGAACGGGGCGGGGACGGGGGGAGGTAGGATTCTGGGCTGATTTTTTTGGTACAACCCAGAAAAAAGGACATTTTGGGGTGTATTTCTGCGCTGTTTTAATGTCCAAAGTCTGAAAAACTTGCTTAAGTGTAGTTTGTGGCCTAAAACGTCGGCTTTCTACACTTAATCCCAAAACTGATGCAGGATGAGGAGACGTATGTGTCATTTTGTCATCCTGAAATTGTATTGGATGCATTTAATCTTGAGAACACATGGTCAAATATACAGTCATGGTAAACGTCTGTGGGAAAATTGTGTCAATATTACTTACTGTTGTTAAACAGGAATGGTCACACCCGAAGCCCTCCTGCAATTTACTAAGTTACCGAGGTCTTCACCTACTTTCCTTATTCTTTCAACGTAATAACATGATATAGATTTAAGCTATCCTAGGCTATTGGAAACGTCATTAACATACACCATAATTTCCATTCACCAGTTTATTGATCACCAAGCAAACAAAGCAAGAAGTCCATTTCTTAATGTAAAAACAAAATTATTCCACTACAAGCTGGCAACAGCTTTTACGCATCGAACATGTATCAAAGGCCCCTTGTAGTCTACCTATAACTAATAACAAACATTGCTTGAAGCTTTTGGGTTATGTAGCTGAACAAGTCCAATTACAGTGTTAATTTCTGTGCATCATAATTGTAGTTTTGTAATGTTGACCGATATTGACTACATGTATCCAATGTGCACGGATTATTGATTTCTCGTGTATACGAGTATAATGTATATTAATTTCTAAGAAAGCCTCCTACCACTAACGCTTGCCGTGGTTTTCTACCTTCCGTGGAAGGTCAATTTTCTTTTGTTTTGGCGTTAAGGCACAATCACTGACTTCAGACATGTCTCACGTTATCATGGTGTGGCAATAGATCGCTGTTTACGACCCTATTATTCATTATGTAATTCTGGTGTTTTAATGAGCTTTTAACTTTTAATTTTGTCAGAAATGACAACGGCAATGGTTTTGCCGCTTGGTACGTAATTCTGTATAAACAATCGTGTGTGAAATTCAGGACGCAATTCCTAGGGAAAAAGTGCTGAATAAACCATTATTATTATTGCTTTGCGTCATGTTGCAGCGCACAGCCACCCATTGACACCTCGGAGGTTGATGTACGAAATTCTGGTCAGGAGCTCTTTAGATGTCGATGCTCATAGCGACGTTTTCCGGGTCCAGGTAGGTGTAGGCGACCTTCCCCTCCGCCTTCAGGCCGTCGTTACGAGCCTTGATCTTCTTGGAGAGGTTCAGAAGCTGTGTGTGGAACTTCTCATGGACCTCAGGGTACACCTCCTTCATGGCCTCCACCTGTACATCACACAATACAAGGTCAGCATTTTTTATCGTTTTGTCTGTTTATGTCATATAACCAACAGCAAACATGTAACAGTTTGCATGGAAGATGAAAGGCTACCTTGAGTATTGTGTGAACGCTAGCTATATATAGATGACAGGACAACAAACAACCGTATTATTTAAGGCTTGAGTTGTTGTTTAGTCTGATTTTGTTATTAAGTTATCTCTTTTCATTTAAATGGAACGTTTGCATGCAACACGGAGGCTTTATTTATGTGTGTTTATTTTCTACTACAAATTGATAGTAGAGTTTTCTGAACACTAATGAACTGAACGCTTGTCACCGATCAACAATTATCGTAATACGTAGAATGATGTATACTTGTAAATTGTGACAGCTACAATTTTTACCTCGTGACCATCACCACTATTAAGTACAGGATTGTGTTCTCGCCACAAAAGCGCCACCTACATCGGCTAGCTACATGTAGCGACGAGAAGCAGTACTCCAGTCAGAAGGTCTGAGCAGTCTTACCCCAGTGATGGCAGTCTGGGACGGCATGGACAGCATGTAGGACAGGAGAACCTGCAGAGTCGTGTTCTGCGGAGGAGGCAGGGCCTCGCGGACAGCGGACTCCGTCATGTCGTTCGGTCCGTCAGGCATTGGGATCGACAGCTGGGCCGGCCTGGGAGACGTAGGATCAATGTGTACGTGTTTTAATTTGATTTAATACCCAGCAAAAGAGGGACACTTGTGTATATGTCGTGTGAGCACGTGTGATATGTACAGTGTAAATTGACTGTAATATCAAAACATTTCAATGGATTATAATTTCTGACAGTGCAAGGCCAAGGCATTTCGATTCTAGTTTCGATGGATACTACCTAAAACGTCTGACCGTTGCTTGAGTAACTGGCTTGTATTATTACCTGGATTACCTTTACCGGCATTTCAAGGCACTTTAGCATTTTGAATCCTCGGTAGCATACAATAGATCAGTTCTTTAACAGGTCCAGAGAACATTTTGAATCCAACTGTAGATAGAAATTACAACAGATCATCTCTTTCAAAAGATCCAGATAGAGAATATTGCAAGCTGTACGTACCTGTTAGGCACGAAGGAGTAGTAGTCGTACTGCGGGAAGTTGATGGCGGAGTGCTGTGCGCTCACGTTGAAGATGATGTTAGTCAGGCAGTCGATCAGCAGCTGCTTGGTGGAAATCTTGGCTGGAAATCCGTGCAGCTGTCCAGGACCTTCGGTCATCTTGCAGAATTCCTGAAGGGCTACACGTAGTGGTTGATTAAACAAAGACCATGATGATATTATCATTTTCCTATTTCAACATTTAAGCAAAACAATACATAGTGGTGACGCACTCAAGCGAATTAGCTTGTATTAATGTCACCACTGGACATAAATTAAACAATGATGACAACAGAAGACAAAAATTTCAAATAGGTAAGGTCCGAGAGTCCCAAATGCTTTCGGTACGTTAGAAACAAAAATAGCTTTCCATAGGCTCAATTCACACTTCTGTCATGGTGGTAGGCTACGATGTGTAGTGATAGGTTTGAAAAAACAACAACAAGTGAATTAGGCCTCTCGTATGATAAAGGAAACCTTATTCAGTACGCAGACCCAGGGATGCACAATTTGTTTAGAAACATCGCAACACCGATGTCAGCAAAAAAAATGGTTGAAGCATTTGGTAGCAAACCTTTATCAGCTTGCACAGCCCGGTCAGAGGCGTAAGCATGGTTGACCATCCCGGTCACGTAAGTCTTGTAGACGTTCCACAGTTTGAAGCCGTCATCGCGGTACAGGTAGTTCTCCAGTCCGTCAGTCCCGGCCTCATCAAAACCACGGCGTTTCAGCTCTTCGGGGAAACTTGTTGATAAAAAATGACAAAATACAACTTATCTCAAGCTTTATGCGCTTGGTAACAAGAAGACATTTTCTATCTTAATTATAATTGCATGGGAAATGTGTATCTAGATCTGTACATCATGTGTCATTTACTACTCAAGAAATACTGTTGGTTGAGCAAAAACGACGGGACTGTCCCCATGCTGTAACTAGTATGGTACATGTAAGAGTGCAATACTCATCGATCAATCGGTCAACACGTTAATGTGTAGTTTCCCTGTGTGTGTTGATTGAATTTTGTTTACAGAATCTTTAAAGTGTACTTTCAGCGCTTAAATAGCCCGGCGGACACATATTTACCTTGTGCCTCCTCGGTTCCCTAACTCAGAAAAGGGGTTGAACTGTTTTAACCATTCATCTTGTGTGTTTCTCCTAACCACAATAAGGATGCATAATTATGATTTTTCTCTCTACATTTGCATCTGATCCAGAACAATAAAAATGCGACATGGTTGACATCTTCCAGTACCGCAGTGGTGGAACACCAAATTTTAGGAACTAACTAACTGCGAACTCACGCCATGTCCATGAAGTTGTACTTGCGCCACTCGTTGAGGAACATGACGAGCCCTCCCACGGTGGAAGTGGCGAACATCGGGTCGGTGATGGGGAAGATGCGGGAGACGAGCGAGTGGCGCGCCAGGTAGTTGATGCCGATGGTGTCTTTGAAGTGCGGCAGCAGCAGGCGATGGACGGGGTGGTCCGGGGGCAGGTGGGTGTGCATGGCGACCACCAGCGGCTCCATACCAAGATGGGTGTAGCCCAGATGGTACAGGAACTGGTGCACGTTGTTGTCAGCAGACTGAACGTGCATTTTGGCGAACATGTACTTGTTGGGATGGGTCTTCGCACTTTCAGGGGAGTACACTTCGTTTATACCTACAACAAAAATTAATGATTAATATCATTTGAGACAGTTTGTACAATATGTCACGAAAGAAGTTTGGAGACAGTGAATTAAAATGGTTAATCTAAGATGACAATGTTTATATCTTACTATTAACACAAACATATTGAAGTCATTCTAGCTCTATTTGACTGATGTACAAATAGATATAGAAGCCTAACATTACATTACATACTCATTAAATATTAGCTTTTGTTAATTACAACATTTGGTAACGGGAGGAGGGCGCATCACTTGACTATTGTTGTTTTGTGTGTATGTGAAGTAAGTTGTAACTTGAGTGTACGTAACATGCTATTAAAAAAAGAGGGAATAGCTGAAAGGATGACCTTTATCTCTGGTAAGCTGGATGCCCAACATGTTCAGACGAGACTTGCCGCCAGCCAACTCCTCCTTGTACATCAGCACGATCGGCGCGTAGAAGAACTTGCCCGGAGTAGCGGGGACACCGAGCATGGGCGCGTAGTCCACGATGAAGAGCCTGTTCTCGGCCAGGAGTTCCAGCGTGGTCTTGCCTTGTCCTTTCAGTCCGAGCATTTCTGCTGGGATCCGGCTCTGGTCCTTACACACGGTCACCAGCATGGGGTTGATGCCTGGTTTGCAATAAAGAAAAAAAAACAATATGATGATAGCTTTTCTTGGGCAACTTAAAGCACTGCTGTCATACCGAAAAGTACCAACATCATGTACATTAAACTCTTTTCTTAGGCAATGTTTGGAACACTGCTTTCATACCGAAAAGCACCAAAATCATGTACTCCTTTGCACAGCTTGTACAGTCTCCAAAATGTTAATACAGTTATACATGCAACATACACAGTGCAATATAGTCCATATCGTGGTGTATTTTATCTTATAGTATAAGGCAGTTCTAAAATACATCAACGATGCAGCAGTGAATGTATCGCATGTACTGATTTATTGCGAAAACAACGAATGCAGTGTTGTATTCCCTTAGAACATATGGTAGCAGGAAAATGTTGCAAACGGACCCTGCAGATACTGGCGGCAAAACTCCTCGTCATTCTGCCATTCTTCAATCAGCTTCTCGTTGGAGGGAAGGTAGCCGCTGAAGTTTGCCTTCCACGGATCCCAGATACCCTTTGCCTGGGCCAGGCGAACCATGATCTGACCCTTTGGAGAAAATAGCAGTTGTGATTTGCACAATGCAATTTGTGCAACATATCTCAACCAATTTCTCTTGCTGTCGCACATTAATACATATTGTTATATCTTGGTAGTTCTTCGTCATCGAAGAAGACTGCTAGTGTCCTCGTATATATCATCAAATAAAAGACATACAACAAGTGATTTGTCGATCCTTCATCGACTGTATTGTGTTTACATCTGTACAAGACTATTTCATATCTCATGCATTTCCGTCGAAGCTGTAGCAAACAGACAACAAATAGCGAAAAGAAAACGCAAACACTGATTTTAGCGCAGGTGTCGAAAGGGACTAAAAAATCTCTAACCAGTTAATTAAGTACTCTTCATATCAAACCCTAAATAAAAAGCGGTTAACAGGCCAATTTAGTTATTTTATTAATAAACTATATGTCAAACAAACAAACAAACAAACAAACAAACAAACATTCACAAGAATACAGACCTGGGATGCGATGAACTGCATGAGACGCTCCATGAGCCGTCCAGCTTTCTGCGGAGTGAACATCTCGCCAGTCGGCATGGGAACGCAGGCGGCCGGGTACTCCTCCAGAGGCACGTCGGGGTGAGTTCGCAGGCGCTTCATGTATTCATACTCATACTTCTGGCCTGTGTGTTAATAAACAACAGGAGACATGGCGTTGGAATCTTTGGTCTGTTATGGAGTAGGAGCTTACTACTCCCAGACTTTGGAAGGCGGCTGGAAAGAGTAGAAATTGGCCAAATAGAGAAATAACATGCCAGGAGATCGGAGTTGGTCCGCTGGAGAGTACAGTTTGCCGCACAAGAGTCTCTCTATTTGGCCAATTTCTACTCTTTCCAGCCGCCTTCCGAAACCAGGTAGATGCTAATAGTATGTATTAGCAACGAGGCCAACGACGATTTGTAACTTCTTTTTTTCGAATAGAGCCTGTATGCTCAAAAAGTAAATATCTTATGGAGACCATTTCATTCCGTTTCTATTCGACGAACATGATCGATATCATGCGTCTGAAGTCCAATTTATTAGATTAGATTTATGAATCGCTTGCAACTAATCATTCCCTGCCGTTGCCAGATGTTTAGGTAGGATTTCTTAAAGTAACAAAATTAGCATCTACCTGCTCGGGGAGGCGGCTGGAAAGAGTTAAATAGAGAGATGACATGCCGGAGGAGTTGGTCCGCTAGAGCTCTAGAGTACAGTTGTTCGGCAAACAGTACTCTATAGCGAACCAACTCCTCTGGTATGTATGCGTTATCTCTCTATTTGGCCAATTTCTACTCATTCCAGTAGCCTCTTGAAGCCTGTTACTGGGCTATCAAAAGAGTATCTTGGAATGCATCCCGTACGGGCGCTGGTGACAGCTAGAACCGGCAAATAGTAGAGATAGATTCCAGGCTAACCGTTGAAAATAGCGTTAAAAACGAACGCGCTAAAACTTCCTTCTGCACCGATGTGGTATCTACTGCTTTTTATCTAAAATAGAAAGTTTCTCCATGTACCTGGGCCAAGGAAGGACGTAATGAGGTGGGTGAACTCGTTCCTGATGGCGTCCAGTTCGCTCTGAGCGACGGGAGCCAGGAACGGGATGGCGAGGGACGTGATGAGTTTCTCCCCCTCCTCCGAGTCCTTGGGCTGGTCGTGCATCTTCAGGTACAGCCTGACGTCCAGCGTTCCTCCTCCCTGCACGTCCAGAGTCATCCTCTTCTCCTGGCCTGACGTCAGCTCGTCCAGGTTGACGTTAGCTGTCCCCATGATGTCATCCTGTCCGACCGTGTCCCGGTCCCTGCGGACAAAAATACCAGAGTTCTGGGAGCTCAAACCTACGTGAAACATTTCGAGCTTTTGTAAAATTTCCTCTTTTGTTTGCAATTGGTCACGTTCATTTTGAAAATAAGGATGCATCTTCTAGTATTTTCCATTGATGGTATTCTGTACTAACTGCATATATGGTATGTGTGAGTCCTACCTTTTGGCAGAATTCCTGTGGCAGAATTCCATTCTAACATTTTATCAGTAATCATGCAAATGACCTCTACATTTACATAATTTATGCATAGTCATGTTGAGTTTTAACTAGTACTAACTTACACATGTCACAAGTATGATATTCCCATCATTTCGTACTAAGGAATCATGAAATTTTCGTATTTGTTATGCAAATAAGGTCCAATTTGCATAATTCGACAGCTATCACAGATAGTCAAGTCAAGTACAGAGGTGGACTTACATGACGGTGAAGATGATGTTTCTGGTACGTGACGTCACCGACAGCTGAAACCGCTGGTCCCAGATGGGATTCTGGGTAGAACTGCAAATCTTGGTGGTGACCGGCTTCCCGTCATTCACAGCGAGCACGACGTATGGGTCAGCATCGACTAAGGTATGGGATTGAATATTGATGTTATTAACAATGACAATGTTTTATCCACAGCTATGCAGGTATCACACATAAAGAGAGTTGAAAATAAAACAGCTTCTCTTTAGGACTTTTGTCAGAATTACTTGCTGCCTAACCTCCAGGGCGTAACGTTAAGTACTTACACCAGCCGTCAGTCCGTGCCAGATCAGCTGCCTTTGCAACAACGACCTCTAGCGTCCCGACCTCGGAGTGGAAGAGCTGCTGCAGCCCGGTGATGCACGCCATGTAGGCGCCCTTCTGGTTGTCTTGGATACGGGACACCGCAAACGACACGCTGACGTCAAAGGTGCACTCGAACTTGACTTCAGTCTCCTTCTCACCAACTGAAAACAATCACTCATTACTGTCATGTAAACATTCTTCATGTTAAAAATTAAATGATATGAAGACCTCTCATCAAAACGCCATAGAAGCTGCGTTTTCCGCACTAACCTGCTGTCATGGTAACGGTTGTGTAGGTGTTGCTCATGGCAACCGGCGGTGGGGGATCCATAGACAGGAGACTGTAGATCTGTAGATATGCAGACAGTTATTTGCTTATTAAATTCATGAAATGGGATACAGGTATGATTAGAAGGAGGTAGATATATAAGGGGAAGAGAGATTCAGTGATACAGAGAGACCGAGGCAGATACATACACTGTACGTCACTCAACCGAGACGGAAGCCGACATTGTCTATATATACCAACCCAGTGTTGACGTCACACTTCAAAGAAGCCACGTGACAAGTCTCACTGGGTCAGTCTATTTAGGAAGACCAGAGTGACTGGTCGAAAGCTACGGTGAGAGAGCTTTGTGTTGGATCAAATTTTGAACAGTTTAACATATACTAAAGTACTCATTACATATACATTGTAAATGCATATCAGATAAATACATTAGAGGCTGCTATAAAATTATCAAATTTCAGCACGTCAAATGCTATCCATAAGTTACCTCGACGTGATTTTCGTCATCCCTCCACTCCAGCCGCTCCCGGATTGTCCTCTTCGTCTTCAGTGTCTTGAACAGCCGGATGCAGCCTTGCACGTCATTTCCGGGTGCCTCGATCTCCATACTGTCATAGATCTTCCAGTACTCCGTACACTCCTGAAGGAAAGCCCATTAGTTTTAGACGGTGTAAGAACTACAAAGCTTAAGAAAAGCCGTGAAACTTTGATCAGTGCTAATACCTCTGGAATGGCATACAATATAAGCAATAAAAAGAAAGTCTGAAATATTAGTTGTTGAGAAATTACAAGTACAAGATGAGGGCTAGCAAGCTAATTTTTACATCAAGTTTCTAAAATCTGCAGATGTTATTTCGAGACTGTGAATGTGTAAACGAGTATAGCAATGTGTATCTCTCTGCTAGTGTCTTACGTGTGTATTATATGCCAAAAATATGCCGTGCGTATAGAGAAGTAGAAGCGTAACGCAATGTGTATAGCAATGTGTTTCTCTGCTACGGGTGTATGATATACCATGCACTTGCACACTGTAAGATAAAAAGTATAGCCTCTGCCAGCACAATTTGTTGCACTCTCTAGCGGACCAACTCGGTCTCCCGGCATGTTATCTCTCTATTTGGCCAATTTCTGCTTTTCCAGCCGCCTGGTAGAGGCTATAAAAAGTAGACTCACGCGTCCAAAAGGCCGGAAGACCTTCCAGACCTCCTCCACAGGCCCCCTTACGACCCCGCGGGCAGTGGTGAAGTACGCGCCCTTCTTGAAGGCCGGAGGTCCCGCAGATGCGGCTGGACCTTCCTCGGTTGGCTTTGGCTCGCTGAAGGTTGACTGGTAACGGTAGAAGTTACAAACAGTTGATATACTTATACTATATGAATGTGTGTACATGCCATTGTGCCACTCATTCAGGTACATGATATTACATATATTATCTACATTATCATATAAATCCATGCAGATCGGCACGAGTGTGTGAGCAGCTTAGCGTAAAATAAATGCTTAAAGAGATTAAATTGAATTCTAAATCACACAAGCCTATAGATAGTAGAATTTTATTGAACTGCCTAAGGTGAACTGAATACCTCTTCCTTTGTATTTAAACTGCAATAAGAAGTCATCTCCAAGGAGATCGTACGGTGGCAACTGGCAAAGTAGTATCCATTGGTCACATTGACACTCCTCGCCAATGGATACTGCTTCGCCACAGTATGATCTGCTTGGAGATTAAAAAAAGCAATGTTTTTATGCAGACAAAAGTAGGTAAATATAAACCTCGAGCCACGCGATCCGGCTGCTGAGAGCTCCGACGAACCATTTCTTGAACTCTTCCATGGGACTGTCGTTTGCAGGGATGAAGGAGCAGTCATACGTCACACGGACCCTGTTGGGGTTCACAGCGAAGAACTGGATCTGTGGGCAAACGTAGACCGTGGTTTAGATACTAGTATTGAAGCCCTTATTGTGCACACGTTAAACAAGCCGCCAGGGGGCGCGAAATGTAATCATTTCAATTATTTACTAAAAGGTGTACCTAGTACTTTTTAGGATACTGATAACATACTTGGATGTCGGACTGAGAAATGATTTCTTAGGCCGTCAACTTGACTTTAGGCATCAGTTCCAGGTCTCGTGAAGACCTGCCTTGTAACCTATCAACTTTCATGACCATCCATGCATCCAAAACTTCTTGAGTTATCGTGCACACACACACACACACACACACACACACACACACAGAGAGAGAGAGAGAGAGAGATAGAAACACACACACAGAAACACACACGCTACGGAAAACATATTAACCTTCTTGGCAAAGGTACTAACTGTCACTTCAATGAACCTACAATGCTCTGTATTATACTATCTCTCTCCTTACCCTGCCCCTGTAGTACTTGCAGTGCAGGAAGTCCGGACTGTTGTCTCCCTCATACACGAACAGGTAGTCACTGGTGTCAGCCCAGGCCAGACGGACCTCCAGAGAACGGTCCTTGGTAAAGTAGATCGTCCGACGGATCCCATTGACAACGGTGCCTGGAGTACGCAAAAGTCTACTTAATAGTATAATAATGTAGACAGAATGTGTCAGAAAAGACATTAGGGGTTCAACTATGCAGAGCGAGAGAAAGAGAGAGTGAGGAAGAGAGTAGCAGAAATGTACAAAGTGTATACATGTCTAACTTAAGGAATTCGAGTTTAGAGTACTCTAATAAATAAATAATACTCCTTAGTTCATGATGAGAAAAAAGACTCTGATTTCTCGTAAAAACTGACCCGTTGCCTCACGTATCCAAGTGACGTCATTGAAGTTGCCCACAATGTCCCACATTTTCTCGCGAGAACAGCCGATGTCAAGGTCGAAGCGGTGCTTCCCTCCCAACTTCTCACGGACGACGAAGTTCAGAATGTCCCGGATGCGAGCTCCCAACAGGTGAACCTGTCCAAACCACAAACAATCTAAAAACATAATACTCTTCAATACTCTGTACATGTTAGAAGGGAATTTGCATGGCGTTTGGCGTTTGTTTCAAGGGTATTTGCATGGAAGGTGAGAGGTGTTACATCATACAATCCTTTCCAGAGTTCCAAAAAAATCATGAAAATGAAATGCATATGTTTACCTTCGCATATGGTCTTACTCAAACACATTCATATGGTGACGTTACAGGAGTATAAATCCCTCCTGCTGTAAAATTTCAATATGGTACCACCATGGTAACAGACGTCTGGTTCAGGTCTTTGACCTTATTTGTTTGGAGAAGAAGAAGAGAAAGAAGTAACAGAGCAAAAACAACATGTTTTCCTTCTGCGAAGGTAAACATTGTAAGACTTTATGACATAGATGTTCTCACAACTGCAAGAATAGAAAGTATAGTTTGTGGCGCAGTTATTTGGTGAATTAAAAGGCGTCTGGTAAGGTAATGTAACTGACCATGTGGTAGGCAATGTCCTCACGACGTTTCTTCTTGTCTTTAATGGCGGACACGAAGCGCACAGATATGGTCACCTTTGCTGTGGAGGTTCCTTGGACAACCTCAGCCTGTTGAACCTACGACATATGAACACACCATCGGCAAATGTAACTCATTTTACAACACATCATTGCATACGATATAATTTGAATGATGTTATATAGCAAAGAAAGGGTTATCAGAAAAGATCAATCTGTACGTTTTTTTAAAATCCAACATGTAATCACAAGATGTGATGACGGCACAATCAAGTTTTTTTTTCAACTTAATATTCTTATGCTGCCACCAACAGAGTACAATAGTCGTATTTATTTTCCCGGGCCTGAGCGAAGTGAGGAAAGTCGTGTAAAGTGCCTTTCTCAAGGGCACAAGATCGGTGGCATGGCAGGGATCGAACCCAGGACCTCTTGGTTCTGAATCGAAAAGTCCGTAATGTTGACTGTTTGTACCTTGATGGTCATCTCGTAGCTCTTGTACAGATCGTTCGGCTCCGCCTCCTGGACCCTCCATGTGCGAGTGGAATCGTCCTTCTCCACCAGCTTCATCTCCCGCTGCCCCTCGGCCAGGTCTGTCGGGTCGTAGTAGAAAGACACCACCGTGCCCACCTCTCCTAAACCTGGGGTGGGAAAGGAAAAAAGTCAAGAATCGTTGCGTACTATGAAACAAGTTTGAACTAGCTAGATCGACTACTTCGGACGTGACACAACATATACATATTGAATCGCCTGGACATTCAGTCTCATTGGATAAAGTAAGAAGTTTGGACACAGAATCTGACTTTTAAGAAGATTAAAGAGGCCATCTGCGTCAGGGCATTACAACCATCCCCCAAAAGAGACGGGGGGCGCCACAGACTTTCTGCAACCTATGATCCACTGCTCACGGAGTCATGCGTGTTATCTGCGTGACGTCACGGAAGCGGTGGATTGCTCATTCCTTGACAAAGACTGGAGTTGTACGGTCAAAAATTTGGGTAAGTCCAATTTCTTGTGTTGGACATGCAGTTTAAACTTGTTTCGTCGAGTGATTTCTACCAACATAGATGAACTTTCAAGAATCGTTGCGTACAGTGATCTTCTTGTTTTTGTTTCTTGTTTTTCAAATGTGCCGTCTTCTTTTTGTGCAGTCCAACTCGAAGCGTAATTCGTCTCGAGTCTCGATGCATGCGCTTTTTGGTAGCTGATGGTTTATATAGTAATATAAATGTCTTAAGAAGCGAGAAGTTTAAACTGTACATGGTAGCTAGATGAACATGTGCGAAGTATTTCACATTGGTATACATTGCTAGATATCATTCATTCATTTAATGTGACTTTATGCAGAATATCTCTAGTGACCTTTCAGGACTCGCAGGTTCTCATGCCCCTCCATGTGCAACTGCAGTTCCACGAAGTCCCGGAAGGCGGACCAGTAGACCTCGGCAGAAACGGGCATGTCCTCGGTGTGGGTCAGAAACACCTCAGCGCCATCGGACAGGAACTCTGAGGAACATGTGATGCATACATGGTTGATAATGCTGCATATGATGTCAAGTGCAGGTGTTGGGTCACAAATGATCGTTAACTGGGCAAATGGGCTGGACAAAATATATTTGTGTGTAATGTTATGTAGCCCATGACTTTGGCGAAACTGTATACATATATAGTCTTTGGTAGAATTTAGCTATATATAGCTTAATCACACACTGAGACGACATTGCAGCTGTACATTTGTAGTTTCGCTCAGTTATCTTAGCGGCTGGAAAAATCGACTGCTTTGGTCGCAACTACTACATATTAGCCGCGAAATCCAGATGTCAGATCGAAAATTTCTGTGTCCCTTAATGCTTGCCAGCGGTCGACCAAAAGAAAAGCTAGGGTCGGCAAGCAGCCAACTGATACAGGCGGCCATGCAATGTAGACTTCTCTTGCCCCACAGAATCTGCTTGGAGATTAAAGGCCGACGGGTTTTACCCTGGGACCCAGACATCTTACACACATATGCCAGCGCTACTTGAAATTCTGTCCGAGTTTACAGGGGCTTTGCCCAAGGTAGCTAATCAAAATTGTTTTGACGTGCGCAACGAAGTGAGACCACTTACCTCCAGGCACTTTGCAGTCATGCACCACTTGTTTCAGGGTAGCCGCCATGTTGGTCGAAGATTTCACACCTGCGCGAGGTATATAGTGCAGTTGAGAATTTCTTGTTTTGGTCATTATTGTGAATGTCTAAAGCTTTCAAATCTATAAAACACGGTTCAAACAGGAGGGCCAAATGGAGCTAGCAGCAAAATGGCAATACCGTAACTAAAGGAGACGAACTTTGACTAGTTGTTTTTTTTATTCATCAAAACATAAAAACATAACAAGGACAGTGTGGCGCTGCACTCAAGTTAACAACTTATATTAACAGCGCCACACAACAAAAAGGTACAATTAACATTTAAATATACAAAGTTGACATATCTGTGCGCCGTAGTCCCACCACCCCAAGATATTAAAATGTTAAATTAAATTCTAACAGATATTTGAAAGATAAGATTACATGGTAACCTCCTATATCTCATTGGCGGAAAAACATCCGCCAATCAAAGCTAGGAGGGGACATTTAGGCCCGTTAACACTTACGTAGTATTTGGACTTCTATATCTAATTGACTGTTAGAAACAGTCAAGCAGAGCTAGAAGCGCTTGGTATCTCCAATGTAAACCTGAGTGAGTTGCATCGTTTTAAAGTTGTACATAGAGGGTAACATTGAGGAGACTCTAAGAATGAAGTGCAGTTTAGCATTATCTGACATATACAGACATATTATTAAGGTTGACATGATGACCGAGTAAATCTGCAAGATTGCCAAAAAGTTCCGATCTCTCATGATTGTATAATGGACAATGTAACATGAAATGCATGACAGATTCGCAACGACACCCGCATCTACAAGAGACACTGGTAGAGAGTCCTCGGGTAAACAAACTGTGATTTAGAGCACAGGTGCCGATGCGGAGCCGAACAAGAAGGGCGCAGGTGTAACGCGGGCCACAATTGTAATGTGGGGGACAAAGGGGGCGTACTAATCTAATAAGGTGTTTCCGGAGTTTGACTAGTTTGAGGACAGTCAACGAGATTGTGGATCAGGTTCAGTGTGTAGAGGGTTCAGCATAGCTTTGAAGAGATTTACTGCTGCTGACTCCCTTCTTTCCTTCAGGGTAGGTAGGTTTGGAACCGCCCGTCTACCACCACAGGAGATTATACGTAGGGCACGTTTCTGGACGCGTTCCATACTGGCGGACTGTTCTTCATTGCACCCAACCAGCAGGATGTGTCCATACTCCAGGACGGGGCGAATCAATGACAAATACACCTGAACCAGATGAACAACACTCATGCCTTGCTTGGTCAATAATCTTCAGTGCGCCAAACATTTTGAAATCACGTATTTCCCGATTAATACCGGAGAGCGCTAGCTGTCGGATAAGGAAAAGACTCTGCCAGGAGCAGTTTCAACAATCTATAGATACCTCTGGACTACCAACGCCAACTGTTCCTGCCACCACGTTTGGGCCCTCTAGGCGGGTGAGTCATGACCGCCACATAAGTTATTTACAACAACTATTCTCTCTGCAATTACTTAGCGTGTGCTTTCATATCACCTCGACGTCTTTCATTAATATCTGTCAATACAATTATCATGTAGAATCTTTAAGACAAAAGCTGCACTAGTGAATCGGATTTGTCAGCGGCGTCAAACAGGAGAAACAAAATAGCAAAACACGAGAATGTACAAAGCTTTACTTGTTCTTAATCTATTTACTCAGTCACACAGAAATCTTTCAAAAACAAGTCAAGACGACGGCAGTGACTAAAGACTTTTGAAAACGAAGTAAGCTCCCACCCAGGGGGCATTTTAGATCTAATTTTGAGCGTGAGAGGTTTGTCGCGAATCCATTCAAGTGTGAACTAGAACTGTAACTCTTTGTCTGTCTTAGCATACGCTACTTTTACATGGCTTTATCTTTTATTGCAAAGTTCTATTCGGACTTGATGTGAATTAGCAATAGAGTGACGACCAGATCGGACTGTTTATTTCAAAATCTACCGATTCGAAGGACGAAACTTGTTTTCATCCAACTTCAAATGACAGAAAACAACGAGAACAGAAAAAAAACAAACCTCGAGTACATTAACAGACGTGCACAATTATTTTAGCGACTGCTTCAGTCGCAAACTACATATTAGCCGAAACTCATGGAGTCAGATCGAAAATTTTTGTGTCCTTTGCCAGCGATTGACAAAAAGAAAGGATAGGGTCGACTAATCTCCAAGCAGGCCATGCGTTAATACAGGTGACCAATGGATACAGGTGGCCAATGTAGGCTCCTTTTGCGCCACAGAATCTGCTTGGAGATTAAAGTTCGGCGGGTTTTACTCTGGGACTCAGCGAGGCAGCGGGCAGGAGTGTACGCGCCCTCCCCACTATCCGCTGTGCCCCAAGATGCGCTAAACCACTCCGCAACAGGATATAGTTACGCAAGCACCCTACTCTCCAAGCAGAGGTTAATGGGTTGGCGTAAAAAAAACTAGATACCAGTACAAAAAATCCCGATAGAAATCCTAAAACACGCCTAGTTGCTGGCCCCAAAAAGATACCAGTACAAAAAAGAAAGCTCGACGAAAAAGCGTAAAACAAGCCAAAAATAAGCCAAAGCCCAAACCTCTGCTTGGAGAGTAGCTGGCGTAAAAGAAGATACCGGTACAGAAAAGAAAGTCCGATACGAAAGTCTAAAATTAACACGCCAAAAATAGGCCAAAGCCAAACCTCTGCTTGTAGAGTACAGCCCCCCTAGGTCCGCTTGTCTCTACAAGCTGACGGGCTCTCACTCGCCTGCGCGCGAGCGCGTGAACTTTCCACCCGCGTTTGGTTCCCAGGGGATCGAGAAACGAGCCAGAAACACTACATTTTTTGGCTTCCTATGGCCTGGATAATGCACATCTACATCTATCAGCGCCTTACACAAAGTGCGCAGAAAGAGCTAATCACTACTAGTATCTCGTCTTGAAACCATGCAAAGTTCACTCTCATGCAAATAAATCCCAAATGCAAGATATACATACAACTAATACTCAAGTCATCCATCAAGAAAGAAAAGAACGAGTGGCTCATTTACAAAAAATGTTTGCAGATACAACAGCTACCCTCCGTAATACAGTCTTTGCCTTGATAAGCGATTCCGATGTGTATTGAAATGTGTAGTCCATCACAGTACTCGTGACAAGCAATTGCAGATACGGTGCCCTCCCCCCGGCCCTCCCTCCACTACAAAAGGTAAGTCTACTCCCTACCTTACTCAGTACTCTTCACACCTGTGCTGTACCGCTGTACGTGCCCGGAGCACTGTGCACGTGTGTCCGTCTGTTAACTGAACCTGGACTGATCCCAGCGCAACGTGAGCGGAATATAACCTGGCTCAGCAGGAAATGACCTCATCTATTCCCCGAAAGTGTTGGCAGCTCTGCAGACTATAAGCTCTTAAGGTAAATTGACCCTATAGAAAGCTCTTTAAGATTAAACTAACAATATTCAAATAAATCAAACATACGGAACTTGTGTAGAGCGTGGGTCTACAGGAAATTACGCCCACTTTTCTGCGAAAGTGTAGGTGGTTTGTCAAACTACTGTATTGATCTTGACGATAACATGGATTTATTGATTTCGCAGGAAGCCGAACCTTTGTGTTCCCTTTTCAGACGTCACACGTCCGACACTTGTAAATCTTCAAAGTGATTTTGAAAAGCCAATGGTACTGAGCTTACAACTTTACGCCTACTCCAACCTCCCCGAGTAGAATGAGTTTTCGCCCTTGTTTGCTTTGTGGGAAAGAAAGTGATCAAATCTGCTACCCTCTTTCTGTTGATACGCTCAGGGTAAAACATACATTTAACGAGACGTGCAGTTGCCTTGTTGTGTAATTTAAGCCAGGCAGTGACTGGAGGGATGTGATTTCTGGGGATTTGGGCTCGAGTTTAAATATGTTCACAGGCTGTGCATTGGTTGTATCTGAGCCAAGAAACTGGCAGCTAGACGGGGATCAAGAGCGGCACATTTTCGGAATTTTAATTGGTCGCCCGTTTCAACTAACTCTACACTGGGATCAGCTTCACTAGCACGAGGTTATTCTCTGCCATGTCCGTCCGTCCATCCATCCATCCATCCATCCATCCATCCAGCCAGCCAGCCAGCCAGCCAGCCATGTATAGTAAACAATGTCTAGACCTACAAGTGTGAGAAAGTCAATAATGCAAGATTGTTGACTTCACTGATTAAAGTTCTCTTGAGGAAACGTTAGAGCTCGCACAGCTGTGAAATATCACCACTATTTGAGGAGATATTGCACATATTTGGCACTGCACTAACTAAGAATCTCCTTGTACAATCTGCAGACTTCATGGCAGCAAGCCTGAATACAATACAATATGCCTCAGGTCAGGAATTACTTGTGTGGGGGAGTGGGTTCAGCTACAGGACAGTGTCTGGGAGTGAGTACGTGTCCGTGACAATGTTTGTCTTTAATCTAAAGCTCCAAACGCATAACACAACTGGGGCATCGTCCAGTTGCTGAATTCATTTTACCACACACACGCACGACGCACGCACGCACGCACGCACGCACGCACACACAAACACACACACACACACATACACCAGGGGTTTTTCTAAACAGGGGAACAAGGGCGCTGCGCCCTCATGTAACAAGCTAGCGCCCTCATATCAATTTTCAGATTGAAGCCTAGGTCTTTTTCAAAATTATCTTTTTCCAGTAAAAATACAAAAACAACACCACATAACAATGTATTCTAGCATTACAAACTATGTTACTCTCATGAAAATTCCAAAATCTTCCCACAAACATGAAAATTTAGCTCTAGTAGTACAAGTGTGAATGGAGTAAACATAGTTCATTGAGAACTTGCCCAAAGACTACAAGTAAGCCTCCTTCATTTGCATACTATAGAACAGGCTCTGAAGTGAAACATGAGACCTGAGTTTGTAGCAGCTTGGATGAAGGTGTTGCAATGTTTCCCATGTGAAAGGTTTGAGCTTGTGGCAAACCCAATGTTGTTATCTGGACCTACTAGTAACAGTGTAAGTGTATAAAGGGTGATTTGCACATTGTGTGTACTGTTGATTGTACTTATATTTTATAAAGGAAATATGCAATGCATGAATAGAAATTTAGGAAAGATATTGACAAAAAACATTGAATTATTTTAGTCTAACTATCCTTCTCCTATTACATACATTATTAGTACTGGAAATTTGTATTGAGCATTGTATCTAGCATATTGTAAATTTTGTGCAGGCTAAAATAGCCTTTGAAGGTGTTGTAAAATCCAAGTAAACAGACCTTTTTCACAATAATAGTTGTTTATTTTCAAAGAAACATACAATGAAAGAGTTCAAATTTTCCCCCTCAAGTAGCCTCAAACTGTCCCATTTCAACTTCAAATTTTCAAAGGCTCCACATGGCATGGCGAAGGGGGGAGTACCCCCTTCCCGCACCAACCCCCCTCCGGTCGCTTCGCTCCCTCGCCGTTATACCGCTCCCTCATGCCAGATTTTTCTAGAAAAACCCCTGTACACACACACACACATTTGAACAACATAGCCACCTTGCATCAGGAATATGAATAACGTTCGCCCTTGAATTCTTGACTCCCAGTTTTACCAAGGGAGTTAAAATTTAACCTTGGTTTTACGATTGTTATCATGTATAGCGTCTACTTTGCACTTGTAAGCGAAAATGCGCGCCTGGAACTACATGGAACGCTGGTGTATTTCCGGTGGTGTACTGAGTTTTGCCAGCAGTTTTATTTCCTCGTGTAA